AGAAACAAAGAGTTCTAACCACTTTTCTCTCTAGCCCCTAGAACTGGTTGTTTCTAATTATCTGGAATTGTAGTTGACTGAGGTGTGGTTTAAAAGTGTTGAATATTAGCTGGGCAGTAATGGCCCACGTCTTTAATCCCAGCACTTGGGAGGCAGAGACAGGTGGATCTCTGTGAGTTTGAGGCCAGCCTGGTCTACAGAGTGAGTTCCAGGATATCCTGTCTCAAAAAAAAAAAAAAAAAAAAAAAAAAAAAAAAAGGTGAATATTTTTTTCCTGCCAACACCTCTTGCTGTTTAGGTCTCAGCACCTCAGAATGCCACCTGCTTTTCTTCTGAGCTCCCTTCTCACTGAATGCTTGCCTGAATGCTCGCCTGCACAGCTTGTGACAGTTTGATGGACTGTTAGGAGTAGTTTTCCCCTCCGGTCTTGTCCCTCTGCTGTGCCAGCCCCAAATAACACACAGAGACCCTGTATTAGATATAATTCTGTAGGCCAGTTACTGGTTTCTTATCGGCTAGCTTTGTATTAAATATTAACCCATTTCTATTAATCTAAGTATTTCCACATGGTCTTATCTTACCTGAGAGAGGGGCTGGCATTCTGCTCTATCTTCCATTTTGAATCTCCTCCCTACTCCTTCCGGTATCCTCCTTGTCTCCTAGTCCCGCCTACCTTCCTTTCCTATTGGCCAACAGGGCTTTATTCATTAACCAATAAAAGAAACATATTTACAGAATGATATCTCTCTTCAGTGGGGCATTACTTTCTCTCTAGTAGCTTCACTCTGAGATCACCACCCCCTAAGTTCTTGTTCTCCCTTGGAGATACCTCCCTCTCTCCCTTAAGTGTGAACCTGTGATTTGGGTCCTCTCTATGAAAGCAAGACCTCAGTAACTAGACCACTAACCACCGAGTCTGGGAATCTAACATCACCTCTGTCCCATCCTGGTAACTGTTCCCTGGGTTTGTCTCTAGAATGGGGATACTTTTTTGTTTTGTTTCTTTGGTTTTTTGTTTGTTTGTTTAACTCCTTGTCTACTGAGATCTACATTTGAAATTACAAGGCAGGTCCCCTGAATACTGGCTTGTGAGAAGTATGAAAAGATAATTCAAGACCACAGTACTTCATCTGTGATGACGAGCTGCAAAGTGACCACACATACCACAGTTCCCAGTGAGACTATTAGCAAGGGGCTGCCACTCTCAAAAGTGTGCCAGCGGCAGGGTGACTTATGCCTCTACCTTTGATACAGGGCTGGCATGTGAGATGCACATTTACTTAAAGACAAAAGCTGGAGAAAACCCCTGTATCCTCAATATTCTGACTCTAGATCCATGCTAACTGTGTTTTGTGGGAAAAGGCTTTTGTTACAACAATGCAAGCCCACATGTCATCATTACATTTTCCTTGGACTTCATTTGTAACATTTTTAGAGAACTGCTATAAATGATACCAGACTATGATTAGTTTGCTCTATTTAGACATATTCTAATGAGAAAACATATTTCTTGGAAACTGGGAGCGGGGGAGAGTAATCTTGACTCCTTCCATTCTCTAAGTACTGAGAGGTAAATTTGGAGACTAATTACCTCTATATTTCATAATTTTCATACAGCTCACACCCTAATCAAAATTTGTAAGTCACAATGCAAAAATAAAATATTTTAAAAAATTATACCCATTAAATTATAATTTATCTGAGTGTGTGCCATGTTATTTTTGTGGAGGTCAGAGGACATCCTGGCGTATCCTTGGATGTCATCTTCCACCTTGTCTGGGACAAGGTTTTTGTTGTTCAGTCCTGCCTACCAGACTGGCTGATCCAGAACCTTCTGAGGAGTCTATTTCTCTCTCACCCAGCTACAGGAGTACCAAAATTGCAGACTGTGTCAAGCTTTCTGTGGGAAACAAGCTCAGGTCCTCACAGCTGGATGGCCGTCTCTCCACTTAATTTAGATGTGAGGTTAGTGATATCACAAAGGCAAACACACCTCTGAACATCCAGGAAACTTATAGTCATCGACAGCTCCTACAAGGGACCACTGCACAATAGAACCAGGAAATCCATTTTGCTTTCTGATATGGATGCAAACGTACTTGTTTTATTAATTTATCTGAAAAGGCTTAAAGTGGCTTATCCACCATCTTTGAGTCTGAGAAGGCCTCCCAGGAGCAAGATTCTAAAAGACAGAAATGTCTGGAAGGCTGGAGTGGTGCATGGCAGTTCCTGCTAGTTGGATGCAATCTGCAGCACACATCTCTTCCTAAGCTGAAGGTGCTGCTACCCAAGATGAAAATGGATTCTCCTTTGTAGGGAGATGTTCAGACGCACGGAAACAAAGGACAATCAGTGACACCCCACAGCAATGTGAGCAAACAGTCATCTAGGAGAGATGACCCACGCCCACAGAAACAGTGCAGACTAAATTCCCAGGTGACCTTCCCACTGAAGACAGCCGGCACAGAATCTTTTTGATACTGTCTCCTCAAGAATTTAAGGTCAGAAGGGCCATTTTCATTCTACAGGCTGGACTAAGGACCAGATGCAGCAGACTACTTCCATAGTCATCAAAGAAAGGCAAATCAAAACAACCCTGAGATACCATCTTACACCTGTGAGATTGGCCAAGATCAAAAACTCTGATAACAGCTTATGCTGGAAATGATGTGGAGAAAGGGGAACACTTCTCCATTGCTGGTAGGAGTGCACACTTGTACAGCTGCTCTGGAAAACAGTATGGTGGTTTCTCAGAAAACTGGAAATCAACCCACCTCAAGACCCAGCAATACCACTTTTGAGCATATACCCAAAGGATGCACACTCACACTACAAGGACATTTGCTTAACTGTGTTCATAGCAGCATTATTCATTAATAGCTAGAACCTGGAATCAATCTAGATGCCCCTCAACATAAATAAGGAAAATGTGGTACATTTACACAACGGAGTACTAGTCAGCTGTAAAAGCAACAACAAAAACAAACAAACAAACAAAAAAAAAACAATGACACTTGAAATTTGTAGGCAAATAAAACTAGAAAAAGCCATCCTAAGGTAACCTAAACCCAGGAAGGCAAATATAATATGTACTCATTCACATGTGGATATTAGACATAGAGCGAAGAACAACCAGACTACCCCAGAGAACCTAGGTAACAAAGAGGACCCTAAGAGAGACACACGTGGACCCACCTAGCAAGTTCTCCTGAGTAAATTTGGAGCGTGGGAGGCGTGGGGGGAGGTGGAAGGGGGAGGGGAGGAGGGAAAGGAAGAGGGGGAAATGTATAGGTCAAAACAATGGTTAAAAAAAAAAAAAAGGTATTCAGGCCCACTGCCTGTCAGAGACTGCATCCCTGAAGAGAACTTACTCTTGCCCCCTCCCCCGCCCCAGCCAGCAATTGCCAATAGGTTTTTAGCTGTGGGTGGGACTTCACAAATCCCTCCCTATTTGCCCTGGGGTTTGACTGGCTTGATTGTTTGCAGGTCTTGTGCATGTCGTCAGTCTTTGTGAGTTCAAACATTCAATATTTCTGCCCCCTCTTCTTCAATGAACCCTGAGCCTTACTTAGCACGGGGTGTGATAGTCACATTTAGAGCTGGCCAGTTTTTGTTTGTTCTGAATTAAACTCGTAAGAAGTAACAGACGTGACACTCTTGATCTTACCATAATAAAAAAGGATACTTGTGTCATTTGTATAGTGTAGCAAGAGAATGCCTTGCATTTATTAATGAAAACCAAGATAAGCAGTGAAAGTGATGGCGAATGTGTCTCAAGGGGAAACACCTTACAAAGGGAACGAATGAGATTGGTAGAAAGCCCAGAGTCACACCATGAAAACTAAGGACAACATTTCAGTGGGCAGTGTTCAACCAACTAGGATGCTGCAGAGTCCCATCATCTGGTGAGAAGAGAAAAGAGAACCCACCGGTTTCAGCAATATGGAGGTCAATGGTGACCTTGGGGAAGGTCATTGACAGTGAAGCCTGGAAATGACTGGGTGAGAAGACTGTTATGAGTAGGTTTTCCCCTCCGGTCTGGTCCCACTACCGCACCAGCCCCAAAAAACACACAGAGACGCTGTATTAGATACACTTCTGTTGGCCTGTTACTAGTTTCTTATTGGCTAGCTCTGTCTTAAGTATTAACCCATTTCTATTAATCTAAGTATTTCCACGATGTCTCATCTTACCGGAAAGAGGAGCTTGCATTCTGCTCTCTCAGTCCACCACCTTGGAACTCCTCCCTCCTACCTCCTCTCTCCTCTTAAGTCTCCTAGTCCCGCCTATCTTGCTTTGCTATTGGCCAACAGTGCTTTTATTCATTAACCAATAAGAGAAACACATTTACAGACTGACATCTCCCATCAGAAGACTGGGATGGAAAACAGCCCAGAGTGCATACAGTGTCCAGTCTGACTCCTACAGGAAGAGAGAGGACGGTGGCTGGAAGAAAGTAATAGATGTTCCTTCAAACTGAGTGTAGTCTGCTGAAGGCTGAGAAGATGGCTCAGTAGGTAATGTGTTTGCCATACAAGATGAGGACCCGATTTTACCTCTAGAACCCACAAAGCCAGGTGTGGTGGGGCATGCTTACAATGGCAGGAGGGGTTCAGGGGCTCCCTGGCAAGCCAGCCTCACTGAATCAGTGAACGTCAGGCTCAGTGAGAACGTGTCTCAAAGAACAAGGTAGTTGGGGCTGCAGAGATGGCTCAGCGGTTCAAGAGTACTTGCTGCTCGTCCAGAATCCTCAGTTTGGTTCCCAGCACTCACATTACAGAAGCATCGGTAACTGCAGCTCCAGGACAGCCTGTGCTGATGTGTGTCTAAGCCCCACCCCCAACACACATACACATAAAACACTCCTTTTTAAACTAGTGTGGATAGCTCCTGAGGAACGAAGCCTAAAGCTGATCTTTGATCTCTGCCTGTACATGTCATGTGCACACACACAAAGTACAAACATGCACACACACACACACACACACACACACACAGTGTGCTAAAATATCAAATATAATCAAGAAGGCAATCACTTCAGGAGTAATACACTTTTATATTAATCATTTCAACAACCCGGGAATGTACAGTTTTATTTTTTCATACTGGTTGTGGTTCTCAAAAGGTAACTGCAAATTACTCTCTTCATTTCATGAGTGATAAAAATGAGCCATGAAAAATGTCTCCAAGAAAAAACAAAAAACAAAAAACAAAAAAAAAACAAAACCAAAGCTCATCAAGCAGATTCTCGTTGATTTTTTACAATTAAAAAAGTACAGTGTACTGTTAAGAAGAGAATTCCTGTGACCGCTACATGTCTAGTAAATCTCAAGTTTTTAAGGCTTAATTACACATGTCCATTTTTGTACATGTGGCAACATGCTCCGTGTCTGGGTTACATCCTGAAGATGCCGAAGTCAGTCTTCTCGATGGGCGCGTTGAGGGCTGCACTGATGCTAAGTCCCAGAACCAGCCTGGTGTCCACAGGATCAATGATCCCATCATCCCACAGCCTGTGGAAATATGGAAACGGTCACTATGAACTCACCATCCAGCCGCCATCCCTCCTTACCATGCTCAGAATCACTGAGAGGATCCCCTCACACTGCACACGGAGCTCTTGAGTAGCACCTGCATACTGGAGTCATCGAGCAGATGTCATGTTTCAGATAGAATAAAGAAAGGCAGTGCTTGCCGAACCCAAGGATGCCACACGGAGCTTCAGGCTGTAAGGATGACTTCGTGCTCCTCTGCTACTCACAGAAATGCAGCATAAGCACAACCCAGCGACCTTACTGCTAAAGGCATATTACACAGAAGTTGTAGCAACTCGAAAATCACTGTGTAAGCCTTGCTACATTTTACTAAATAAAATAAGTAACTTAAAATGCCATTCTTTATTTTTTGTTACGATGGAAAAAATAACCTTAAACTGTTTTGAAGAGAAACTTTTGAGTAGAGACCTTAGTTTGTTCTCACCGATACCCTCAAATTTATAAAGAAAGATGAATTAGAAATAATACTTCTTTGACTTTTTTCTTTTAGGGGCTTAATTTTTCTTTTCTTTTTAAAGATAGGTCTCAATAGGTGATCCTCCTGTCTCAGCCTTCTGCAGCTGTGAAGCCCCTTTGCCGAATGAGGCGGGCATCCTTTTGGGGGTTATTAGGAATCGGCTGTTCTGCCTTCTCTACACAAATTGCTTCTAGTGTCTGGATGTCACATCAATTATTAAACACTGGCAGCCAGGAATCACATCTTTGCTCATAAAACATTCATCTAGGACCCTAATGGATCGATGGCCAGCCAACAGGTTGCTTTTGGAACTGTAAATATCCCTTGGGAGCATGTGGTCAACAGAATCCTCCAAGTAATGATGGAGGGGCTTGTTAACGACGGCCATTAAAGACTGCCCAAGGAAGGGATTCAATGGAATGCTGGGAAAGTCTGAGGGCAACACTTCAGACCTACACCTGTGTCATGATGGATGAGGGGAAGGCCAGGACCGGGGCTGAGCAATGAAGCTCTGGTCTCCACTGGTCTCGTGCGTGTGAGGTTTGATCCCCTGAACAACAGGCAGTGAAACAGAGGTTCCGGTAACAGGAGCTCTCCAGAAAGCCGGCTTCCACCATGTTCAAACCTAAGCAAGCCAGGGAACCACTGCTAATCTGGGATTTACCAAGCACAAACACACCCCAAACCAGAGTGAAAATAATCTTTAGGAGAAGGTTGCTGTCTCCAGGCCAAAATCTGTTTCAACAATATGATTAAGCACCTACAAGTTAACAGACAAACCCTCCTGTTGTTCAGCATTTATTTCCAAAGATTTATCTATCCAGCCATGCTCACAATGATGCCTTAAATGTAATCCATTAATGAGTATTAATGTTAGCATGACAATAATAAATGGTGCCATCTCTCCTAAGAGGTGATTTATTTTAGCCATTAAAAAACAAGTTCATGGCTCATATAAAATTCATATTTCAACTGTCCTGAGCCTTTCAGCCAAAATCTTATGTGAAGAACTGTCAGTGAGCTTATATATGTATGCTTTGTATATACCATAGAGCTTTTACGTGGCTTCCTATAACCCCCCTGCCTCTTCTGACTGCTATTACTGAATTTCTGTTTTCATTATGGCAAAGTGAGGTACATCTTTGTTGTTCAAACAAAGAATATGAAGTACTTCGTTGCCAATTAAATGGACCAATGACCCCCACAATATCTGTCTGTGAGGAAGAAACACACACACACACACACACACACACACACACAATTAGCATGAAGACAAATAGGCTTTTTGAAAATTCACAATATGCTCAGGCTGTAGCTCAGACGGTTGAGTGCTGATCTACCATCAGAGACCCAGCACTGCATAAACTGTGGTGACACGTGGGCCTGCAATGCCAGCTCTCCAGAGGTAGCAGGGGGATCAGGAGTTCAAGATCATCCTTAGACTTAGCCAGTTCTTATTTAGCCAATCTGGGCTATAACGAGATCCTGTTGCCAAACAACAACAACAGATCTCAGATGTTATTATCGAACTGAAACTGATGAGCGATACACCAGTCTTTGTACTCCATTGCCAATAGCAATGCTGGCCATGGGGGATACATCCCGATGACTAAAATGGGTTCTAACTTTCTTATTTTCTTTCTTTCTTCTTTCCAGGCTGCCCTTACCAGTAAGGGTATGATTCAAGGCATAACCTAGAAGACACTGATGTTTATTCTTTTCTCCATCTGCCCCAGGGAAGGAAGAAGACATGGCTTAGATTAGTCTTCCTAACACTGAACATTACGGTTATTGGAAAAACCATCTAAAAGAACGTGCTAGCGGTCTCCAGCTGGGACAGGCAGCGAGAATTGATTATCTCATTATGATTATGCTGGGTAGAAAACAAACAGCCAGCAGCCGCAATGGTGTCTGAGGTAATTACTTGGCAATGACATGTGGATCCTGGCTGTGACTAATCGCCTTCTGAATATGCAAGCACACTTGTTAGCCAGCGCCAATGTGTGATCCGTCAACCTCATGCTTGAGCTAGGGGAGCAACCAAACAGTGAGGAGGGTCATACAGAAATCCAAGGGCACAAGCAGGGACTAGCATCCACTCCTGACATGTAATACCCAGGATTAGAAAGAAATCTTATTCTCAGCTCCTGACATGGACCAACCTCTGGTTATGGGGCCTTGGGTACCACTCTACGGATACTTTAACTGGGGTGGGTGTACAGGAAACGGGGGTGGAGCTTCAGCGCAAGGAAGCCTGGGAGGAGGGCGGCAGTTCAGCATGAAGAAATGACGGTATAAAAGGAACTGTTTATGCAGGCAATACTTTCATTATTAAACAAGGCCTTTCTATGTAGCACAGGCTGACCTCAAACTTCAGTTCTCCTGCCAGAGATGCCCAAATGGCAGGATATCAGGCTTGTACCATCATGTCCATCCAGAGACTACATTTATCCCCCTATGATGGTCAACCATGCCCAGAGGTCAGGTTTCTGTGAAGCTGGTGCCCTGGATGCCAGGAGTCCCCCTCAGGGGTGGAGAGGTCTGCTCCCACCTTGCACTGGAGTAGTAAGGGTTTCCTTCCTCTTCGAACCTCTTAATGATGGGCTCTTTCAAAGCTGCCTCCTCAGCACTAGAGAACTGAAAGAAAAAACATGGCAAGTCAGCGAGCGTCCCTAGGACTGACTCCTCTAGAGAACCTGGGAAAGACGCACTCTGTGAACAATTACGGTGCAGCTAACATTCGCACAGTGATAGGCAGATTGCAAATGATGCTTTAACATATATGATCTTGCCTGGGATCAGGTCTGATTGTCAAAGACAACCCACTGAGGACATACAATACAAAGCCAAAACCAAGGGTGTTACACGTCACTGTGTTCCTGCAGGGTACAACAGTGGATATGTTTTACAATCTCTAGTTAAAAAGAAGGGGCCGAGCATTGGTGTTGCATGCCTTTAATCCCAGCACTCAGGAGGCAGAGGCAGAGGCAGGTGGATCTCTGAGTCTGAGGCCAGCCTGGTCTACAGAGCGAGCTCCAGGACAGCCAGAGCTACACAGAGAAACCCTGAACTGGAAAACAACAACAACAAAAAGATGGAGAAGGCCAGGCATGGTGGCATATACCTTCAATTTTAATTCCAGCTCTTTATAGGAGACTTTATTTTTAAACTTTGAAATATGTCAGGGCTAGAGATGTAGGGTGGTACAGCACTTGTCTAACATTTGAAAGACCTTGGCTTCAACCCCCAGTGCGGAGATGAGTATGTAAATAAACAGCTACACTTAAACGACTTACTTCAAGCAAACATTTCCATCTCTTATACACATACTTAAGTGTAGGGGTAACAACCACTGGAGGAACCCCTCTGATACGGCGTTTGCATATATAAAAAGGGATGGTTTAAATATCTACACGTCAAATGAACTGAAGACTGGTTACTTAACAAGGGACTGCTTTTGTTTACTAAAGGTCAAACATGCCTTCAAATCATCAGGCGGACGCCCTCTCCCACCCTTTGGCCATCCTCCACCTAGACACACACACACACACACACACACACACACACACACACACAGAGCAAAACCGCCAAAGACAAAGAGGTAGGCTGGGGAGAGAGTTCAGTGGGTAAAAGCACTTGCTTCAAAACCATGAGGACCCGAGTTCAAATCCCTAGCATCCATGTAATTGTTGGACATGGAGCACAAGCTATAATCTCAGCACTTCCACAGGGAGATGAGAGACAGAGGTAGGAGACTCGCTAGAAACTCACAAGAGAGCTAGCCTGGTGTACATAACGGAAAAACAACAGAGAGACACTGTCTCAAACAAGGTGAAAGGTGAGGACATGCACTGCATTCTCACGCACGAATGTGTGCACGTACACACCACACAGACACATACAAAGATGAGGAGGGATGAGACACGAGCGGCTTAGTGCCTCCCCAGCTCTGCAGACCCCACCATTGGCCACATGAGCTCTGCTGGCAGGGCAATGCCCCCGCCATACACCAAGGACGTGTCCACATTGTCTCTCCTATGATGAGACCATAGCACACACAAGCCACGCCAAGAACACATAGCTGCATTTCCAGACCTGGTGCTTAAAGCAAAGCCATTAAAAGTCAGAGCTAAACACTCATGCAAAAATTCTGAAGACTGCAACACAAAGAACCCATCTTAAGAGCAGCAGCCATCCCGACTGCCTTCCGTCACATCCGTGCCCGGTCCCTTCCGTCTTCCCATAGTTGTATTGTCACAGCGTGCTAATACCGCTCAGCTCTCAGGAGGTGACTGAATCTCTCTCGGGGACCCTTAGCAACATAGTAAAACTAAAACGGAAAACAGAGGTCTGCTGCTTTGGGCCCAGAAGCAGTAAATGGATTTCCTTAGATCTCACTAATTTCAGAAGAAGCCAGTGTGTCTGTGTCTGGGGCTTGGGAATTTCTGGGGTCTCAGGTCAGTGGTACCACGCTTGCTCGACACGCTTGCTCGGCCAGGAAGTGGAGCCTCACAGGACACACGGGTGGCCTGGATGCTCTGCCGGTCACTTACCTGCTTTCCATCTCGTGCTTTCTGATCTCTTGCCACGGTGGCTAGCACAGTGGCTGCCTGCTCTCCACCCATCACTGAGATACGGGCATTTGGCCACATGTAGAGAAATCTTGGGCTGGGAGAAAAGAAAGGTATCATCAAGTTCATCCAGTACAATTAGGCATGGGGACAAAGGCCTGCAAGCCAGCAGCACTCCCGATTAAAGATCGGGCCTGCCGAATGTCAATTTACATCCCAAGCCTGGAAGACACTAGTAATTTATTTTTGTTTTGTTTGTATACAGGGCCCTCTGTAGCCCAGGCAGGCCTCAAATGTGCTGTGTAGCAAGGCTGGCCTTGAACACCTGATTCCCTTACTTCCCCCTGCTAAGAGCTAGCAGGCATCGACACCACTGCCTGGCTTTAACATGACCATCTGTAATTACACGTGAAACACATTTCTTTCTCTCAAAGAAAGCTGTGGAGACCACCCACCTATATGCTCTGCCACACATCCCGTAGTTTCCAGCCCCATATGATCCGCCAATAATGACAGTTATCTTAGGCACTTTGGCACAGGATACAGCAGCCACCATCTTGGCACCGTCTTTGGCAATCCCCTCAGCTTCATAGTCTCTACCAACCATGAATCCTAGGAGAGAGAACAGAAACACAGCCTAGCCTTCAGCAACAGACACACAGACAGAAATCAATTCCACCATGGTGTGGTCAAGTCCTGGCCTAAACTAACTTTACTATGAGGCTTCTTAGGCTAAGAAAATAGTCACATGAGGAGTACGTACTCCAACATGTGCTTTGAAGGGTTGAAATAAAAATCCCTGTCCTTACTTTGCAGATGTCCTTAAAACACGTTGTTTCAGTACACACAGATCTTTGAGCAACCTGTCTTCCAGGGAGCATCTCAAAGCAGAGGCTTAACGGGGAGAGACTGTGACATGGTCACAGGAAAGGTACAGCTCACCCGGCAAGCCAGCCTGGAAGGGTTCCATGTCCACTGACCTGGGTTAAAATAGAGACCGTTCCTTTTGCAGTACGGCTTAAAACTTTGATGAAATAAAGATTAAAGTTTCATGGGGATGCTGAGTCCCTGCCAGGGGCTCAAGGGCAAGATTCAAAAAACGGTTTTCCTTGGTAATTATAGGGTTCCTCTGTTTCCTCAAGCCCCAGCTGGTGTGTGTGTGTGTGTGTGTGTGTGTGTGTGTGTGTGTGTGTGTGTGTGTGTGTGGTGATCTGTAGCTGTAGCTTGCATTCCATAGCCTCCATCCCTCTCTTACTTGAGAACCACCCAGTCAGGTTTCAGTGCCTCCCTTCCAGCCTGAGGCTCTGGGGGAGGGGCATTTCTTTCCCCTACGTACATAGACTTGTTTGTCTGACTGCCTCTCGGTGCAGCAAATCCCTAGCATCGTGTTATCAAATTCAGTCCAGCAGCCCGAGGGAGAGACTGTGTGTTGGGACACTGGAGAGAGACCACAGCAGGGCCCCTGCTTTGCTGAGGTCTGCCACTCTGGCCACCCTTTGGAGCAGCTCAGAACTGCTTTATTCCATTCGCCTTTTCTCTCCAGAACATTCCATCCCAGCTGCCCCCAAGAATCAACTCTCTTCAAGCCTGACCAAACTCTACAGACAATCTGCCTCCAAAAGAGGAGAAGCCACTTTACCTGGTTTTCTCAAATACTCCTTCCTACCATGTAAACATACACACAGGCACACATGCACTCAGGCACACACACAGAAACCAAACACACACACAAACACAGAAAACCTTGAACAGTCATGTTTCCTATCTCCCTATACTCTTAACTTTGTAGAAAGAAAAAAAAAATTAAAAACCATGGCAGTATTCTTCCCTGAAAACCCTTCCCATTCTCAGAGTTCTTACTTTCCCATAAAAACTGTCTATTTGTACAAAAAAAAGGGGGGGGGGGATCAGGGAGAGAAAACCAGAGTGGCTAAAGACTACCCCAAGCCTTCTCTTTTCTTCTCCATTTATTCTGACAAAACTTACACTTTCATCCTTAGCTCAGATGTTTCTCCCCAGCCCCAGATTTACTCAGTGACATATCAAACATCCATCCACATACCAATGTCTCACAGGTCCCCTACCTGCAATGCTGCAAAACAAAACTCAGCCTCTGCTCCAAAAACAGCACAGACAAAGCCAAACAAAATGAAAATGGGAAATTGTCTAAGCAAACATTTAACTTCCTGGTGGAGAGTCACTGTCAGAAATGAGGTCCCTAAAAGTGGTGAAAACGTCAGAGACCTTTCCTTCTGTTTTTAGCAGGTCACCATGTAGGGAATTTTCAGGTCACCGTCTGGAACTAATTTCTGTCAAAGTTCATCAAGGGCTGAGGGTGTGGCAGGCACTTATCTAGCATGATTAAGGCCCTGCGTGCTACCCCCATCGCTGGAAAAACAAAACAATAAGCACACACACACACACACACACACACACACACACACACACACACCATCTAACCTACCTTGAACTTGAGCATAACAAAGAATGAATTTTGCACCATTACTATATAAAGTCCTGCTCAAAGTTGAGAGGCCGGGATGGTATCCATGGTGAGGCTGCCTTACCTAAACAACTAATTATTCTCTATTGCTAAGGGTAGTGGTGCATGCCTTTAATCCTAGAAAACAGAAGGCAGAGGAAGCAGACAGGTCTTTGTAAATTCAAGGCCAGCCTAGTCTACTAGTGTTTTCAAGGCCAGGCAAGGCTACACAGTAAAACCCAGTCTAAAAAAAAATAGTCTCTTTGTCCCAAAGAAAGAAAGTTCCTTGGTAGCCGATGTATCTGAGATGTGGGTTTACATTAACACAATGCAACATGGCAACATACAAAAACAGCAGAGCAGAGAGTCTATAAACCTTACAGCAAGAGGCCTTCAAAATCAACCGACTCCAGCTTTATGCTTGTCTATGGAAGGTGAAGTTCAGAGGCAAAAAGGAGCTCACTCAGTCACAGGTCAGGCCACTGTTTGGGGTTAAAATGCAAACCCCCAGGCTTCCACACAAACACAAATTTTCAAGGCATCACGAGGTGGCTAAGTCAGTCGAGTGCTTTCCACAAGGCACCAGGACCTGACTCCCATCCCTAACCCTAGAATGTCAGGTGGCATGGTGGACGCGTGTATTCCCAGTGCTGGGAAGACAGAGCAGGAGGATCCGAAGAGATCAGTGGCCAGCCAGTCTAGACACCCTCGCTCAAAAACAAGGTGGGCAGCTCCTCAGGAACAATATTTGAAGTTGACCACTGGCCTCTAATGTGCACGTGCACCCACCCTCCTCCCCCGAGGAATAGATAGAAAACCGACATCATTTCAGATAGAGCTACCTGTATGGTGAAAGGTGAAGAGATGCCCACAGCATGTGCTTGGAATCATTAGAATGCTGAGACAGTGGTAAGACAGGGAACACCCTGCTGCCCCCCTGGTTGAGAAGAACACATGAGCAGGAGCCAAGGGAAGCCATTTGAAAGTTTGTGATACGGAAACTGCTTCCGTCAGAACACATGGTAATCTCAGTATTCACGAACACGCTCTGCACTAACACATGAGCCATGGTGGACGGCCCAGCCCTGGACCAGGTGTGCTAGAGCAGAAGAACTTTGGCCTCACCAGTGATGTTCTGCAGGAACAGCAGGGGAATCTTTCTTTGGCAGCACAACTGGACGAAGTGAGCGCCCTGAAACACAGAAACACCAGCTCTTTCAAAACAAATGAACTCCCACCAAGCATCCTGCCAAACTCACACCTCCAGTCAGAGACGGCCCCGCCTGGCTGGCCTGACCTCCTGTTTCCAGTAACAGGGCTGCCCTGTCACCAACAAGGCTGTGGGCCTGCACATCCCTCACTTTAGCTAGCTGCTTGTGAGGTTCCTTACATGTTACAGTGAGACAGCTGCTGTGTCAGGATGAAGTCAATCTCACACTCAAAGTGAGCGCAAGCAAGGGTTAGGACGGGCACTAAAGCACAAGCGGCAGGAACCTGCTCTCACTCTCCAGCTCCTGCCTCAGAAAAGGCGGGATGCAAGCCCTCTGGGGGGTCAAGGCCCACATTTAGGTTTGGGTGACCATTCGATATGCCTTCTGCCTCAAGACACAATCCAAATAAATAGAATTTTAGATTAGGTCAGTGTTAAAGACTTCCAGCCTTGAGATTAAGAAATTATTCTTTACCTATTGAACCATTCCTTGTGTTTTCTTCTGTTTTGTTTGTTTGTTTTTGTTTTGACAAATCCCTTTATCTCTTCTAGAAAGGCCCTGGCAGGCACAAAATTGCAAGGCAATTGCTCAGCTTCAGTATGACTATGTTTATAGACGTGAGGAAATCACAGAGGCTTTTGGGGCTTATTTCAATAAATGAAATGTCAGACTGGGGCCAAATATAACTTCTCTAGGGCTTACCTGTGCCAAGGCGGCAGACAAAACCAGACTGTCTACTTCTAGCCTGATATTTACTCTACGGCAATGACTACACTATAAATCTCTCTCTCTCTCTCTCTCTCTCTCTCTCTCTCTCTCTCTGTGTGTGTGTGTGTGTGTGTGTGTGTGTGTTCTCTTTAAGCTGCTATTTCAGGAATATTTAATATCTTTTAAAACAACAAAGGACTTTTTGAAGGCCCTCTGCAATATGATAATGGCTAATTTTTTTGAGTCAGGATCTCTCCACACAACCCCAGGCTGAAGATAGTTCCTACCTTAGCCTCCCATGTGTAGGACTATAGGAGTGAACTACATCCCTGGCTAATTTTTATTTTCTTTGAGGTAGTCTTCATTTTATAATTGAGTTGAGGAAACTGTATGAATAGCAGAATATAAAAATTGATTTTATTGCTACAATATTTCTTTAAAGATGAGTTCATCTTTGATTAGTCTAAGAGCTTACAAGCGTGTTGTTCCTTTATCAATAAGGGGAATTGCTTTGTTCACTGAATAGGAAAGACAAACCTTTTTTGTTGTTGTTACAGTGTTTTATCAAAGTGCATGAGACATTTCCATAAGCTCAAGCGAACAACCAATGGGAAGCCCAACCCTAAACTCCGACAGAGCACTAGGGAATTCCCTCACTCAATGCTGTAATTGCAGTAACAATGACCTAGTATCTGCACATTCCCAAAAAGCAAAAGTAAAGTTAGAGGAAGACCAAAGAGGTCACGTCTCAGAGCCACCTACACAGGGTACCAGAGCCTCTCCAGCATGGGGAGCCTATAGAATGAGACACTCCCAGGGCAAGAATTTTCTGCCTTCTCAGCACACTTTCCTGAAAGCAATTATAAACCCAGCCCCTCATGGGGACTGCCCTAAAACATCAAGCAGACGTTAAAAGTGCTGCACCCAGCTCCTCACACCACACTGACGTAAGCTACCACAGAAACTGTGTCCAACGCCAGCACTCATGCACAAGCACACACAGGTGTGCTTGCTAAGACATGCGGCTAACAAGATACAGCTCTCACAGAGTACATTTTAATTCATTATGTGACCTTCAAAATTAATGATGCTAAAGCATAAAATCTTACTGTATCTAACAGCACTTGCCTTTTTTGCAGATTCAGAAAACAAGACTCCATTGTTTCCAATGATGCCCACGGGATACCCAAATATTCGAGCAAATCCTCAAGAGAAAATGCAAAGGGAGAATTATGTTTTTCTGGGGGTTTTTCATTTGCAACTACACATTCTTTAATTTGAGAGCAATGTTACAATGTGAATAGAGGTCGTCTATGGTATAAAACAGTTCATGTCACAGCTCTTTATTCCTAAAGGTACCAGCCAGGTTTCTTTTTTGTTTATGTCTCTCAAAAACCCATGTTCTACGTAGAATTATCTATGTTTACTTAGTTTGATTAAATGACTCATTCAGGGGGCTGGAGCGATGGCTCAGAGGTTACGAGCACTGACTGCTCTTCCAGAGGACCTGAGTGTATACATAATAAATAAATATATCTAAAAAAAAAAATGACTCATTCAGAGTATACCCATAACTCTCATGCAAGTGCCCCCAATGTACCAGAGATGAGGGTACCTTGAACTATTTCAAACTTTAAAGAAACTCTTTAAAAAGAATATTCTGATCTTTTCTTCTCTTGTTCCTAGGTGCCATCTCTCTATCAGCAGCAACAACATTCCATAGGGCACACACGCATACATGACATACATGCTCATATAAGGGAGGGAAAACACAGCCTGTCATTCTGTGAGACAGATGTTTAAGGTGATTTCAGAAAATGCTAATTATTTTGCAAACCAGATGAACTTGATTAGAGAAAAATTCTTTCCCCTTTCCAACAAGCCTGGATCCAACTAGAAACAGGCGTCAAGTGCTCAGAGCCCAAGAACTTACTGGCTGTACCTGGACAGTGAGTCAAAGGCACCTTCTACCAAAGCCTTCTACCTGGACTCGGCCTCTAGGTTCCAGTACACAGCTAGGCTGCCCACCACAAAGCAGGTACTCCAAGCATATCACACACACACACACACACACACACACACACACACACACACACACACACACAGTCAGAATGTTGTTCTTTACTCTAGCTTTTCCTGGATTTCCCCCCCATGATCATTTATTGTGAAAGAACACACTTTGATGGCCATATAGGATTCTCTGAGTTTTTCGGGCCCGAAGTCCCAGCCAGAGGCCTATGCATGATGAACATCCTGAGTGCACTGACCCTTTAGAAGTGTCTGAAGCTTGCAAACAGTGCAGCTGATCCACCCTTAGTCCTGCAAAGGGATGAGAATCTAGCACGTGATGCTACCCTTGCGGACTCTCAACCACTTACATGCTCGGCTCTCCCTAGGTCCTGAGTGGGGTGGGAGTGGGGGTCGAGGCATAGATAGACGGACTGAGTGGGCACATGTTTCCAGTTGTGCCAGCCTCTCTATCGAGGAAGGGCCTTTACAAACAGGAAATCAGTATGTCACAGAAACCTCCTGGGCCCCCCAGGTAAGGCTGGAGGCCGGAGGTAACCGTAAAGACCTTGCAGGAACACCTCTGACGTCCACTACCCTACCCCACCCCAGCCTTACATGAATCCCGGATACAATGGAGAAGAGATAGGAGAGCTAACTGGCTGTGTCACTGATACAGGGATACAAGAGTGCCACAGTCTCTTAGCAGGTACCAGGCAAACACTAAAAGGAGATGACAGGGACAACCCATCCATCTTAGAGGAAACAGAGAAGCCCTGGCTTGTTTTAAGCTGCTACACAATGAGGACCACATCCTGCACCACTAGCGTTCAAATCCTGTCTATATATCAAACAAAAAGCTCTTAATCGCTTAAACACCTAAAGAGAAAAGCATAAATTCCCCTTCCGCATGAACCATTCTCTCGCCCATAAACTGAGCTAGGAGAAATTGCCAAGATTTAGTCCTAACCCTCCACATATAGCTGCAATTCGGATTTTTGTAGCTTCTCTTTCCCTGCCTTGATAGGTTTTATTCAGAGTGACTACTGCATTTTTGGGCTCTTTAGAGCCTAACAAAATTCACAAATACTGTTCTGCCATTTTCCACTGGTAGGTTACTCTAAGCCTAGCATCTGTCTGAAACAGTTTCCTTCAAAGGCTGACAGCCCCAACACTTTAGACAGAAGAACTAGCCACCTGTCTTTCCTGACATGATTAGAGGGGGCTGGAGAGATGGCTCTGCGGTTAAGAGCACTCACTGCTCTTGCAGAAGACTGGGTTCAATTCCAAGCACCCACATCAGGTGGCTCTCAACTGCCTGGAATTCCAGTTCCAAGGCATCCAATGCCTTACGCCTCCATGGCCACCAGGCATATACATGGTATACATAAACATATGTAGGCAAACATTCATACACATTGAAAGATAAATAAACCTTAGAAAACAACAATTATCCACAGGGAGGCTATGGGAAGACTGGACTCACTCCACAGATCCTGTGAAACTACACCTTCCATAAAAACCCCAGATGCACTAGAGCTAAAGGGCAAGGAGACAAGGCTGGGCGCTTGAAAAGAATTGCTACCCAGAGAACATGACAAATACTCTGCTCCAGTTACTGCAAGAGGCAGACAGTCAGGTAAGAGTCCACACCACAGCCTCTGGCCATCGTCATTTTCAGCTCATTGGATCCAGGAAACCATCCGAGGACAAACCATTTGTATAAAGCTGACAGGTGACTCACACATTTGTGCCTTTTCGGATAACAAAGCTCATGCCAGGTGCATAGAGCCTCGAGACAAGTGATGACTTACTTCCGAAGCAACAGAAAACGTTCATTATTATTTTCAACAATTCGCTTTTGTACCTGTAACTAGTGTGTCTCCATATAAGGCCTTGAACTCATTGAATCTGCTTCCATCCACAATTCTGGCAATGACCTAAGAGGAAAAATGACAATGCTCCTGAGAAATTACATCACAAAAGCATTTCTGCGATGAAGTTATTTATAAGGAAGGCAATTCACGGTGATGTCACTTTCAATCTCATGCTACGTGGAAAATCTCTTCAGAATTGCCCTTGACATGCATGGTTAGTGCCCCGAGCCATCCCACGCTGTGATGGAGTAGAGACTCCACAGTGATACTGCATACAAGAGAAGCAGGCAGAGAATCTGGGGGCTGGTAGAGAGGCCCAGAGCTCCAGGGGTTCGGTGCCTCGGCAGGGGTTCAAAGAGTCAATGAAAACCCAGCGCGTAACTAAGGGCTTGGAGTGAGGGATGTTGGTTGGCTCTACATGTGACCAGATGTTCCAGGGTAAGTCACTTATTAGAAAAACAAACAAAAAACAACAACAAAAAACCCCTCATAGACTCAAAGCCCTTGAAGGAGAGGCTCTGACAGCTGGGAAAACAGGTGAGCTGGTAGAAAAGGAACCTGTGAAAATGCTGCTGAGACAAACAGGGGTCTGGCTCCAGCTCTACCACAAGGACACTAATCACAAAACCCTTAAAGACCTGGGGATGCAGCTCAGTGGCAGAGCACCTGATGAGCATGTTCAAAGACACCCCGCCCCCAGCACTGCCTCCCTCCTCCAAATGGTCCATAGCATCCTCTAAGCCTGTTCATGACCCCATCCTCAAGTGAGGATAACTCCTTAAAAATAACTAAAGCACACCATCTGATAAAAAGCTATTATTACTATCAATCCTCAATAAACACCCATTGATCCTCAATATGAGCCAGTTGAAGGACTAGCTATACACTGTTATTCTGAAAAGAGCAGAAATTTCTAGTGTCTATCCATGAGTCTCCATCACACAGGTCTTTCAGTGGAGCTCACACTCAGCACACTTGAGGCCCTGACTTCAATCCTAGTACCGAAAGAGAGGACTCTTACACACAACGCTGTTCCACGCTTCTCCGGAACCCATTTGAGAGGGTGTGTATTACCCCATGACGCTCATGTTCCCTTAGCTGAACAATGAGGGGCTCATTCCAGCATCTCTCTGCAGGAGGTAAGAGCTTACCTTAAACTATGTTTTAGTTGTATTCCTTAATATGGAAGCAAAACAACTTCGGTGCTGCAGGCCTCTTCAAGCAATTAACACATCACAGCCACTGTTCTACCACACAAAGATGGAGCTCCTCAGAGGCCCCAGCAGTCCAGGGCCACTTAGTATAAAATGGCCTCTGACTGACTTTATAATTAATACCACTTTTATATGCAAAGTACATTGATGGCCTTCAGAAGAAGGAAAACTTCAGGAACAGACAAGTAATAGGACACCAGTCTCAGTTCTAGCAGGAGAAACCAATACTCGGCAAGCATGGATCCCCACTGCACCTGCTCGAGAGCCCAGGTTTTGCAGCTCAGCTTCCAGCATCACTACACCTCCATGTGCTATCAAGACCTCCCCGTGAGGCTCATTTATTATAGGAAACATGATAAGCAAGCAACCAGCACAAAGTGGCAAGAGCTGAAGATTTCCATTAAAATGCTTTAAGAAGCACAGGAAGCAGGTCAGGGGCTGGGGTCTGTCGTCCACTTCTGTACCTCATGCTCAGAATATGTACTCAGTAAATGCTACGGGGTAAATGAAGAAGTGACTATTCTAAAAAAGATGGTCCTCCGCCATCTCAGCAGGTTGTGAGCGGCATGATCTCTGTCTGCACTCAGCTGAACACTGGGCTAAAACCTAATTCTAAAGTCTGTAGCTGAGTCACGTTTCTAAAGGGAAGTACCAGTGGAATTTCTGTGAAAGCCAAGATTTAACAGTAGCAACAAAGCATTGCTTAAATATCTGTAGACGCCATGGCTACAGTGCAACAGCACCCTCTCCAATTCACAGGAAAAAGAAAAGAAAAAAAGAAGCCTGCCTGCCCGTGTTGCCACACACACTATGGGAAGTGGGGGGGGAGGGGTTAGCCATAGAGAGACAGTTACTAAAGAGACTTTTTCCAAGGATACAGAATAACACATGTAATTTACACCAGAAAAAGTAGAATTAAAACAATGTATATACATGGGAGGAAATTAAACATATGTCTACACATAAATATACCAAAAACACATTATTTACGCTATATGTAAATATATGCTATGCCTCATCCATGAGGGCTTGTTCTATACCTCGGACCCAAATCTATAGATGCTGCAGTCCCTTGTACTGAATACCTTGTATGTGTACATAACTTATGTACATATTCCTGTAAACTTTGAATCATCTCTTATAACAAGTAACAGGATAACTGCTCCATATGAACAGCTGCTGTACTATGCTGTTTAGGGAATAATGACAAGACGAACATCTGTATGTGAGTAGTACAGACAAAATACCCCTTCTCAAGGGTTTCTGAGCTGCGGTTGGTGGAATCTGTATACCAGAATCCCCAGATAGAAAGAGCTCAGTGTATATACAGATCAAGCCAAATACCAAAATACTAGCTGTTCTTTCTGAATGACAGAACAAGCAATTTTCTTTTCTTTTCTGTGTTTTTTGCCCCCCTCCACAAAGCCAATATTAAAAAAAGAAGTCTTATAGTCAAGGGGAAAGTACCTGAAGGTATTAAATAGCCTCTGGCAGAGAATCTCATTAAGATGACTTCCTAATTTAAAATGTATTCTGCCAGCTGTGGAGAACCTGAAGAAAATCAAAGCCTACACACTGTAAGCACACACTGAAAACTGTCACTCTAGATTACAGAAGGCTGTGTCACAACCTGTCACCATAGCAACATCTCCAACTATAATTGTCTACTCTTTGCTAATGTCATATTGATCTAAAAAGGCATGTTTTTCTCTTCCAACAACTTACTGACATTTTGTCTGTTTTGCCAAATAAGAACCACGAGGAAAAACAGTTGGAAATGGCGCTACTGACCTCTATCATTCTCACGGCCCCCAGTAACATTGAGTCCCACCTGTGTAAAAAACCAAGCTTCCTTGTGGTACGGTGAACATTAATCACCGAGAGCCCTTCCTCACTTGCTGTAGACCAGTGACCAGGTGCTATGCCAAGACTGCACTCCTGGTCGCCACAGCCCCTTACCGAGACCCACACTTGTCCCTCTGCACAGACACAAACCCGAGGGGTGGCAGCTGGACTCACGGCTTGGGTCCCACTCCCCACATACCTCTCGGACGTCAAAACTTCTCTTAAGGTTGGCGCCAACTATCCCATACAGTTCATCAGCGGGGAACAAAGGCTCCTCGGAAGGCTCGATGGTAACCTACAGACGTTTAGGACAAATGCACTGCGTTTAAGGACAGGATCCGCGTGGCACGGGCCAAAGTGCTCTACAGGGACAGGAAAGACAGAGGGTTCCCTACTCACATCCAGTTTCTTCTGATAGTTGAGACTCCTCACAACCTTCCTTGCTAAGTGGAGGGCATGGTGGTCGTCCAAAGCATAGTGGTCAGTGACCCCAGACTTTCTGCAGAGTAAGGCACACTCTAGTGAGGAGGGAGCCAGGAGGAGGAAGCCATTAAATTCCTAAGTCCCCAGTACCCCCCCCAATCTAAGGTCATGACCAGCACCTTTACCTCTTGCACACCTAATCAACGCCATCTGACTTGGTTTTCATATTGGGCCTGGCAAAGGAGCACCATCCGCATCTTACAAAGCGGATAGAGAGGAAGTATCCTGCCCTAGGACAAGCGACAGTTGCACTGGGAGCTCATGCCTTGGATTTCCCACTCTGACCTTGTGTAAGACCCCAGGACTTGTTCATAGGCCTACTCAGGCTCATTCTGTGTCCCTTGAACAGGATCATACGTGATGCCCATCGGCAGCCAGCATGCTTTCACAACGTAGTTACATGACACGGCATAGCCAGTCGAGCCTTTGCTGCAAGTACCCATCGTGGTCTCTCCTCTCTGAGACTGCCGAGCTGCCTTCCTTCAAGTCAGACATGAGAGTCAGCCCTCGCTTCCAGTAAACAAGAAGGCTCAAATACACACACTATCCCTCCGATGACAGTAAAAATGGAAACTGATACAGTGGCTCGGTGGTGAAGGCTGTGGGAATTCTCAGTCAATTTCAAGTGTGCTATATGAGGCATGAGCTTGGCTCCAGGGCTTGTGGTTTGTTTGTTTGCTTTGTTTTGTTGTTTTTTGAGATGGGGTTTCTCTGTAGCTTTGGAGCCTGCCCTGGAACTCGCTCTATAGACTAGGCCTGCCTCACAGAGACTGGCCTGCCTGTGCCTTCCAAGTGCTAGGATTAAATGTGGAACCATGGCCGGCCAGTGGCTTGTTATTTCAGAGACAAATGCACTAGAGCTTATTCTCTTTTCTTCCTTCTTTCTTTCCTACAGTTGGTGTTTATTGAGAAAAGTTTTATTTCCCCCCCTAGGGAATACAGAAATAGCTCAGCAGTCAAGACACTGGATGAAGACCTTCCAGAGGACCCAGGGTTAGTTCTTGGCACCCATATCGCAGTTCACAACATTCTAACTGCAGTTTCAGGACACCTGACACCATCGTCTGGTGTCCATGAACAACAAACATGCATACAGACACACATGTAGGTAAAACATTGATATGCATAAAATCATTTTTAAAATTAAAGAAGAGGTTTTAACTTCAGATTTATCATATAGACCTTAAGGGACAGTACACACCCAACTGTGGGCGTGGGCTTCCCAAAAGACAGTTGCAGGCTGGGGAGCTGGCTCAGTGGATAAAGGCACTTGTGCAAGCATGAGGACCTGAGTTCAAATCTCCAGAAAACACATAAAAGCAGGACATACAGGATAAACATCTGTATTCCCAATGTTCCTACTAAGAGACTCGGGAGGCAGAGACAGGAGAAGGCCCGGAAGCTTGTACCGGCGAGCCTGGCAGATGAAGAGAAAAGCAACAAAGGGGCCCTTGAACAAAGGACTGACACTCAGTGTCCCCTCTCATGTCTACACATGTGTCATGCACACATGACCGCATTCACACACATAAATGTGGGGAAATATACATTCAAGGAAGAGAGAAAGAGAGACAGAGAGACTTGTTAATAAAACACATTTAAAAACATGTGAAGTCAAGCTGGGTGTGGTGGCTCACACCTTTAATCCCAGCACTCCAGAGGCAGAAGCAGGTGGATCTCTGAGTTTGAGGCCAGTCTGTTCTACATAGTGAGTTCCAGGACAGCCGGGGCTACATAATGGAGAGGCCCTGTCTCAAAACAAACAAACAAAAAAACCAAAAGCCAAAAATAGTAAAGTCAGACAAAAACATTCAGCAGGAAAAACCCCACGACATTTTGGTCCATTGTATGGGTAAACCATTACAAGCTGTTTTGATGTCTTTCCCAGGGAATCTGTCCAACTTGTATCCTAAATAATAGCAGAGACCAGCTTTACTCCCCTAGAGCACACACAGCAGCCCCTTCGGCTCCCAAACCCATTTGACAACCCAAATTAGTTTGCCATGCTTCACACATAATGGCAGCTGTAGCTCCTGGCTTCTAGTGTGATTCAGTAGAGATGGAGCAGAAGGGAGATTCTAATTCAGCCCAATTCAAAAGGCAATGCCTTCCTATAAAAGATGCCTGCGATTTGCCCCAACAGGAAAGAGACATCTAAGATGACAAAGCAGGTATAAATGTGCACTTAAGAGGACAGACAACCCAGAGGTTTGCGACTAGTCTTATGTTTCCTTTTTAATTGAGACAGGTAATCACTGCTCGTTAGCTTCCTAAGTTCTGGGATTACAGGCGCACCCAGCTTTAACACTGTTTGGTTTTGTGGATTTCCTTCCTTCCTTTTATTATTACTGTTGATTATAATTATTATCTGTGTGTGGAGGGTATGGTGAGTGTGTGTATAGACACAAAAGCACTCATGCTAAGGCCCAAAAGTAGAGGCCAGAAAACAACTTTAACTTTCAGGATCCGTCCTTTTTTCCACATGGCTCCAGGACCAGACCTGAGATTGTGAGGCTTGCAAGGCAAGCTCTACTACTTGCTGAGCCAACAAGAAGTAATGCTAACAGATGTTTGATGAGGAAGGTTCCAATCCAGTCTTTACCTTACACATGAGCCTCAAAGAGGTTGATCACCTCATCTAAGTCACAAGGGTAACCAGGGAGACACACAGAAGCTAAATTCCAGGGTTCATACCCCGAAACTCGATAGACTGCCTATAGATAGTTTCTCCCCTTTAAAACTGACAAAATTTTTTTTTTTTACAAAAAAATCAATGCTGCCGGGCATTGGTGGCATATGCCTTTAATCTCAGCACTCAGGAGGCAGAGGCAGGCAGATATCTGTGAGTTCGAGACCAGCTTTCAAAGCCACAGAGAAACCCTGTCTCAAAAAAACAAAAAAACAACAAAAATTAATGCTCCTCAAATACCACTTTCCTCTCTTTCTCCTGCCAAAAGCATAAACTCATGCCCCTAACTCACCCTTACTCTTCCTTTGGCCAGGTCTCTCCAGAGAGACCTGGCCCAGCCCAGCAGATTGCCTGCCAGTCTCACGTACCAGTCAGAAACTGGACGGATCACTGCAGCCCTGCCCTGAGCTCCCGGGGCTGAGTTTCCTGAAACACTTAAGTGTCTGCCCCGATTCAGCGCAGGTCTTAAAACATTCTGACAATGCCGATTCCACCCTAGATGTCATGGACCATTTTTCTTTGAGCCTTTAGTATGCTTGTCTGCATACTTACTTTGTAAATGCTTAATTCATTTATTTCTTTTACCTGCTTAATTAAATTGTAAGTTCTTGAGGGCAAGGCCTAGGTCTGATTTTTTTTTCTGTATCACTAATAACAATACAACCAATCAACCCTCGACAAGTGCTGAATGAGAGAGGAACAGGTGAAAACTGACATTCCCTTAAGCCAGCCAATAGGTACGACAGGGAAGAATCCATCCTTTCTCTTGCCCCAGATCCCTCCCTTAGGCACCGGGCTCCTCGGGGCTATGATCGCAGAGAGGAGGACTTCCTGTACTGGATGGCAAGTCTACCTGCCCTTTAGGACACTGAGCTGGACCCCTTCTCTGTATGCATTCAAGGCAGGATGAACTGTACAGTTTAAATTAAGTGCCTTCTCTATGCGGACCTTCCCGACAAGATCCTGACTCCTCACAGCCAAATGCCTGCTGAGCAAGCCCTCAAACATGCCTGACTTCTCAGACCTACTCCAGTTTCAAATCTGTCCCCCCACCACCTCCACCCCCAACGCCACCCCCCCCACCCTGTCTCAGTGTTGGAGGATGGAGTCATGCTCTGCCATCGTCTCCATCATCTCATCTCTTGCATCCTTTACAGGTAATCTATCAAGTTCCTCAGTCGCGCCTGAACAATAAAATCATGCCTGGAATACAACAGGCGTCCGAGTGAGGTTTGTTAAGCTAATGAGAAAGTGCCTCTCGGGCTTCAGTGAAAAGCCGAGGCAGCATGCTTGCTCGCTTTGGCAACACGTACACTAAAGCTGGAATGATGCAGAAAAGATTAGCATAGGGCTGTGTTGACACCGGGGCTGATGTCCTGTCTCAGACCATAAGGATGCTTGGTGCTGAGCATGAACACTTGAATCAGTTTCCAGAACCTACATGGTAGAGGGGGACTTGACTCTCACAAGTCGTCCTCCGACTTCCGTGTGTGCCCCCTGGCATGTGCACAGCCACATACATACATGAATGTATCCGCTTATGCATGTGCACAAACACACACTAAGTTTTAAGTTTTCTTTCTTTCTTTATTCGTAGCTGACACTCTCACTTGAAACACAATTCTTAGTCCAGAGGACTAAACCCAGACAAGCATCAAGGGGGAAAAAAATGTAAAACTTCCTTTAAACCAACAAAAGGACCATTGACCCTGAAAGGAGCTATTGCCCCTGCCTTACCTGCAATGAAGGTCGGCACCTCCAAGATCCTCAGCAGACACCTCTTCGCCAGTAGCTGCCTTCACCTACAAGGATACAAGCCACAGTAGGCTGGTCCACTGGTCCACCAAATGCAGCACTAACGAGCACATCGCCTAACCTGACTATGCTACCTTCTTCCTTCCACAGAGCTGAAGACCACTGTACTTTCTCAACCCACCTCCAGGCAAAGTGAGAGAATAGAATCATCCCAATCTCGATGGGAAACCTAAGCCCAGATGCACAAATAGTTGCCCACAGCTCTTGTACAAAAGATAGATCCTGGAAGCTCACCCTCCTCTTCACGATGCTGCCCAGCACACCTGAAAACCTTGGAGGTGTGGGCACTCCCCTGACTGCCTGAGATCCTTCTTCTTTCACCCACCAGGCGAGCTCCCACTTGGCCTGCAGGGATCCTCATGGTGATGACATCCCATAGTATTAACCAAGCATTGCTGGTGGTGGTGGTGGGAAAGAAAATGGCCCCCAATGAAGTGGCACTAGTAGGTGCTATGGCTTTGTTGGAGTATGCGTGGCCATGTTGGAGGAAGTGTGTCACTGTGGAGGCGGGTTTGGGGTCTCCTTTGCTCAAGCTTCACTTAGTGTGATGTTCAGACCATTTCCTGTTGCCTGCAAGATGGCGCATTCTCAGCTCCAGCACAACATCTGCCTGCATGCTGCCATGCTCCTCACCTGATGATAATGGACCGAACCTCGGAACCATTGGCAAGCCACCCCAATTAAATGTTTTCCTTTATAGGAGTTGCTGTGGTCATGGTGTTGCTTCAGAGCAACAGAAACCCTAAGACACTGGCCTATCTGTGGCCCAAGAAGAGAGTTCTGCTTATATATCTACCCACTACTTTCCAATCTGTATTTCAGCAATCTGTACCTATTTCTCTTATCAGCTCTACAATGTGGTGGAGCTGTGATTCATTCCTCTTCAAATATCAATAACCAGGACTATAAAATCCAGCTATCTTTAAGGTGGGAGAAAAAAAATTCACTTATAGCAGTTACCCAAATCTAAGATCCAACAGGATGGAGCCAACAAAAAAGAAAGAAAATCAAACAATAAATCAAGAATGACTTCTTTATAGTCCAAGAAACTACAACAAGAAAATTAAAAACCACTTAGAATTAAAGGCCAACCTCATCTGTTAGGAACTGTTCGTTGAGTCCTATTTCACTAGGTTGGCTAATCTGTTTCTTGAGATAAAAATAAAAAGATTTTATTAAAACAATGAAAATTAATCTAAGATCCAGCATAGAGACGGCTATTCTTCACTGTATCAAAACCTCTATTTTAAATAAAATATCTTTCCACAGAGAGAGGCAATTAAAATTTTCACCTTCAATTATTCCGCCCTCAGAAGTCAATTACCGGTTCTCTTTCCAAAAAATGCAGTGCTAAATGGCTTTCAGTCCAGACAATAACTAATTATAAGATGTGTCTGAATATTTAGAGACATAAAGAGAGATAAACAACAGATACACTATATTTATTCTCAGGATCTGACTAATTTCCAGAGGGGGTTGTCATCAGTTAGTATTTGTTGAACACCCACAGCATGTTTGATGCTGTGACAGGCACACAGATGACAAAAGCCAGAAAAAATGAAAGGTATTTACCCTAGTAAACAGCAAGTTAGGGAGGGAAAGGAGCCACAAGAACAGAAAGTCGCTCAAACCACCCTAAGCTACCCGAACTAACAGCACCTGAACCCCCTCTTCAAAGCCTTTCCTACCTGCCTACCATCAAGTGTCAGGATACCCAATCCTCAAATCTATGGAGCTTCAGATTCTTCCTCCCCTAAACACAGTCTCTCAAGGACCACTGAGGGGTTCAGATCTGGAGAACTTCAGACTTCCATGGCCACTGAATCAAGGTCAATCTGAATCCATGGTTGACCTGGATGAACTCTCCTAAAACACCAGGGGTTGCTCCTGCATGAATCCTCCCAATAGAAGTTTTCAAACATCACTCATACCTTTATTTGTGAAAGTTTGTACCCTTCGCAGTGCAAAGGTAAAAAGTTCAGTACATTTTCTGCACAAGAGCCCATGAAAACTTATCACAAACAACATGAGAAATGTTAACAGATAAGAACACTGGCATTCTAAATAACACTGGAGAGTTGGCAGTTAAGTACCAGCTCCTTCTGGTCTACCTCAACTTCTAATAACATTAGGACTCACACAGAAAACATTTACTTTGCGTGAAAATGAGTTCTTTCTAGTAACTGACATTCCTTGAGTTCCACCATTTTAAAGCATACATTTCAGAGGGGTTTTTTTGGTAATCACAAAATCATGCAGCCATCACCACTACCTAATTCCAGAACATTTCATCACTCCCAGAAGAAACTCCCAGTCAGCAGAAGCCATTCTCCGTTATTCCTCCCTCATAGATCCTAACAGCCACTACTCTATCTCCATGATTTTGGCTCCCTTAAATATTCACAAATGTGGAATCACATTTTTATGTGTGTCTCATGTTTCCCATCCATATTATGAAGAATTTCATTCCTTTCTATGTATGAACATTTTTTATTTTATTGCTTCTGGCCTCCTGCCTCTACTTCCTAACTGCTAGGAGTATAGTTGTGTGCTATGTTACACAGCTCAAAACACCTTCTAGGATAAGCCAGGCATTCAAAATTCTCAAAAAGCCAGATACTGTTCCCACCATGTTTCTTCCACTCTACATTTATTCTGTCTTTTCCAGAATTTCACCATGTACATGAAGGAATAGAAATGCATATTTCCCAACATTTTACCCAACAAAAAGTTACAAGTTAATATTATGTATAACCCAGAGTGGTCAAATTCTTAAAGAGCAAAAAACAGAATGGTGGGGCCAGACATGGCACATACCTTTAATACCAGCAGAGACAGGGGGATGGCTGTGAGTTCAAAGCCTGCTTGTTACATAGTGAATTCTAGGCCAACCAAGGCTACACAGTGTGTCCCTGTCTCAAAGAAAAGACAGAGAGAAAGAAAGAGAGAATGGTGGCTGCCAAGGCAGTAGCATAGCAACATCAGGGAGCATTTAATGGGTTTACATTGAAGAAAATCAAAAAAGTCATGGAGCCGGATGTGGCAACATCTACATCATAATGCAAATATGTTTAATGCCACTGAAGTGAAAAATTAAGATTTATCAGACAGTAAATTTATGTGATACATTATACTTACCATATTTTTTAAAGCATAGACTAGTTTGTGTCTATATTTAACCCAATGAATCAACAATCAATCAACCAAGATAGTATTCTTACCAAGGGTGGTCCGGCTAAGAAGATGGTACCCTGCTTTTGTACGATGATGTTTTCATCAGCCATCGCAGGCACGTACGCACCTCCTGCCGTACAGGAGCCCATGACCACAGCTATCTGCAAGGGAGGCACAGACAAGCCATGAGGTGAGACCCCAGCAGGGAACAGCAGGGCACTGGCACAGCGTCCCTACTGCAGTGCCTAGGTGCTGCTAATGTCTGATCCATGGACTTGACTTTAGAAATGCAGTCCAGCACTGGTTCTTATTGTGTAGCCTAGGCTAGCCTCGAACTCACGATCCTCACATCTCCTGAAAACAACGCCTCCAGGCACACACTCTCCCTGTGACTAGGATCTCTTTTGTTGCTGTTGTTTGAACTTATGCGTATGTATGTGTCTGTCTGTATGCATCGAAGTGTGTGAGCAGGTACTCACAGAGATGGGAAGAGGGCATCTGATCTGACCCCTTGGAACTGGAGTTACGAGTTTGCAAGCATGCTGGCGTGGGTGCTAGGAGCTGAACTCAGGTCCTCTGGAAGAGCAGCAAGTGCTCTTAACCACTCAGCCATCTCTCCTGCCTCCTAGGATAGTGTCTTGACCTCTTATACAAAACCATTTTGCAGGGCTCATGTCACACTCAAGCACATAGATAAAGATCCTATCAGGAGAATGCTAGCAGGATAAACTACTAGTCTGAGAAAAGAAACCTACCCCACACCCACCAGCTTCCTCAAAAGAGAACTAATAGCAGTGTACCCTCTAAACAATTACTTTATATAAATAAATAGTTCATGGGGACATTGAAATAATCCACTGAATGAATGTTATTAACATTTAGTGCTAGCACAAATATATCTTCTAAATATAAAACTAATATTAACATTTGCATTTTAAAAGTTCACTCAAATGGCTAAGATGGCAAAGTGATCCCCAATACCCACACAAAAAAGTTGGGCATGGTATATATACTGGGAATCCCAGTGCTGGGGAGGCAGAGAAAGCCGGGTCCCTGGATTTCACTGTTCCACTAGTCTAGTCAAATTGGTAAATTCAATAAAAACGGAAGACCTTGCCTCAAAAAATAGGTAGGACAATTAGGGAACGGTTCACTAGTGAAGTGCTTGCTGCTCAACCTGGGTTTGAATTCCCAGCACATGAAACTCAGAGCACCCATGTAAAATGCCAGGGACAGCTATGGGTGTGTATAACCCAGCATAGAGGAGTGGGGCCCAAGAACGTGCTGGCCAGGTGGCCGAGCAGAAACGGTGACCTTGTAAAAACTCTCTAGTTAGCAGGTAAGAGGTCCTGACTCAAAGCAGGTCAAGGAAGCAACAGAAAAAGACCGGATGCCCTGATCTGCCCTCTGCATGTGTGAGCATGAACTCATAGACACCCATACATGTACATCACACACACACACACACACACTCACACGCATACACTCACAGGCACGTATGCACACACACTCACACTCACACGCACGCACACACTCACAGGCACGTATGCACACACACTCACACTCACACGCACGCACACACTCAAGGCACGTATGCACACACACTCACGCGCGCACACACAGACATGACCGCGCACACGCACACCAGCGGCCATGTCAGAGGAGACGCAATCAGCAATGGAGCTTATGGAATACAGTCCAGCGCATAGCAAAGCTGCTATGCTGGGTACATCCTGGAGAGCCAGCGCTCTGGGGGGGTGGGGGGGGGGACTGTCTCCAGAATGCCCTTGGCTTCTGTGGCGCTTCCTCCTGCTTCCTGCTGCCGTGTTTCTGCTGATTTTGGCATGGTGTGATTACTATGTGACAGGATCCCACGGTATCTAGTATAGGGTGGCTGTTCCATGGGAAAATCCCAGTCCTCACTGGGCAACTTTCTTTCAGATCATAATGAAGATGAGTTTTATGAGAGCAACAATGCTTTGTTAGATCTATGATTTAACTGAACTTTCTGGACCAGCCTAAAAGGTACAGATTGTTAAGACAGTTAGCAAAGCTAGGGGAATGGTTTAGGTTATTCTGCCAATTCCTCCAATAAGAAGAAAGGAAGAAAAAAAGCGAAATTAGGTTAGAAGTCACTTTGCCTTGTGAGAGTTGCAGAAGATGGAAAATGAGAACAAGGAAGTTTCGTGTATTATAGAGCCATGAACTCTGCCTGCGGAAAAATAAAGAGAGCAATTATGTCTGTAAACCCAAGGTTAGGCCTGAGCTCCTTGGCCATGTAACTTACAGAATTAATCACAGGCCCCAGGTATGTACCTTGAAAAAAACAAAGTTGTAAAGTGAAATTACATGACCCTATTGTGTGTAAAGAAAAATAGGTGGTTAGCTAGACCACCTGCTGAAATGTTTGCCAGAGCAGAAGCAGAACAGGAATTCTGCTACACTGGAACCCAAACCAGCTGCCTACAGGCGCAAAAAGAACTGGCTGAAATCTACTTAGCCTGCTGAAGACCAAATTAATCAGTTAAGAATGATTGTTGCTTCCAGGTAAATAAAAATGCTTAACTACTTGTGGGTTTCTAAGGAAAACATGTAACTTGTAATCTTGATGTGATTTCTTCCTGTGAAAAGATTTTAATTTGTTTTTGAAAAGTATGTCCCTTGTGGTTGTGAGCTAATCTTTTCTGGAATAGAAATGTTTGTCTTAGGAGTTATAAAAGGGATAAAAGAAAGGTAAGAGATATAGAGGAACGAAAACAACAGGAAAAGATATAGAAGGAGAACAGCCGGAAAGAAGGAAGGCAGGGAGGAAGGGAGGGAGGGAGAGAGGGAGGGAAGGAGGGAGAGAGGAGAGGGAGGGAAGGAGGGAGGGAGGGAAGGAGAGAAGGAGTGAAAGAGGAATAAAGGAAGGCAAGAAAAGGAGGAGGAGGAAACCATCAGGATAGAAGAACAGAAAAGAAAAAGAGAGTAAGGACAAGCAACAGAAAGGAAAAAAAAAAGAATTAAGCCTTGACCCTCAGAAAAAAGTCTCCTGGTGTATATGTAGTTGTGTGACACCATGTCTCCTCTTCAGATTCTCTGACCTGATGAAAGCACACACACACACACACACACACACACGCACACACACATACACACATGCACTGCACACACACACATATACATGCGCACACATATACACACGCACACACACATAAACATGCACACACACACATACACACACAAATAATAAATACAACTTTTAAAAAGTATAAAGAAGGAAATAATTATTAAGTTGAAGCTGGGTTAACTCACAAGGAGTTAACAATAATGTTTACTTATGGGTGTTCAAAAGCTTTCCATTTTACAAAAAGCTTAAGAAAATCCTTGCCTAAAGATTAGTATGGTACAAAGAATATCATGTAAGAGTTTAGCTAAATACCAGTCAACAGTAATAAAACTATCACCAGAAAAAAATAAGTACATATGATTTTTTTTTTTTTGTTTTGTTTTGTTTTGTTTCCCAAGACAAGGTTTCTCTATGAAACAGTAGTCCTGGCTGACCTGGAACTCGCTCTGTAGACCAGGCTGGCCTCGAACTTACAGAGATCTGCCAGCCTTTGCCTCCCAAATGCTGGGAGTAAAGGCGTGTGCCACCACCGCCCAGCTTATAATGGATTATTTTAAGGTACCACATGATTTTGTTTCTGATCCCTATATCCCATCAGCTTGCCTTATATTCACACAACACACTGCTTTGGTGACCACAGACCACACTAATATTAGTCCCAAAGGATAGTACTGTGAGATAACAACTTTCCAACTGCACAGCCATCACAAAAGGACTTTTTCCCTTCATTAAATGTTTTGTGTTTATAATTAAACCGTCTATGACATTTAATTGTTAGAAAATACAGTACCTATCATTTGGTTTAACAATTACCCAGAAGTGTGGTTTCAAGTTATCTACAGCTACAAAAATCCGTCCTCATACACACAGGGCAACACCGACTGTAGCCGACAGGCTTCAGTGGCTCACCATGTCTGAGGAATAAATGAATTGTGGGTGAATTCATTGTTAATATCTAAACACATTCCTTTAAAATGGGGCAAAGTAATAACACAAAACTCCAGTTCAGTAAAATCCGTGTGGTACACCTATGTGTTTAACTAGCTCTGTACTTTATGTAGATCTGGAACATTCTGGGCTTTTTGCAAGGTTCAACCTGTGGGTGGCAACCCTTTGGGGTTCAACAACCCTTACACAGGGGTCATCTAAGACCATGGGAAAACACAGACATTTACATCACAATTCATAACAGTAGCAAAATTACAGTTATGAGGCAGCAATGGAAATAATTCTATGGTGGGGGTCACCACGACATGAGGAACTGTATTAAAGGGTCACAGCATCGGGAAAGGACAGTTTTACCTCATGCCCTGCACTCTCTGAGACAACACTGGGCTCAGGCCACATTGTCCCAGTGCAGTGCTCCAGAAGGAAAAGACTCAAGGAACTGAGAACAGAGTCACCGTGATGTAAGATTCTAAAAGGGAACAGTTTTCAAAAATAAGACCTAAAAAAAAAAAAAAAAAAAAAAAAAAAAACAGCGTGGAGTCCAGGAAAACAACTAGAAAACAAAGGAGAGGAGAGGAGAGAATAGCAACTGTCAGCAAGTTCCAGATAGGAGGACGGGGTGCGTGCAGGAGGCGGCAGGAGGATTATTTTGTCAGAGTGCCATCATACCATCTGCTATGGAATGAGTGTTTGTGTCCCCTCCCAAATGCACGGTAGAGCCTCAACCCCCAGTCATGTAGCTGGGGTTATATGATCCCGAGAGCAGAGCCCACGGTGTTATCAAGGTCCCTGTGAGACACAAAAATCTCTCTGTCCATCAAGTAAGGACAAACCCAAGAGGAGGCCTTTCCCAAGTCCTGAACCCAAACCAACCATGCTGGCACTCTGGTCCCTGGGGCCCTCCAGCCTCCAGAGTTGTGAGAAAGAAATCCTTACACTACCCAGTCTACACTAACTGCGAACACCACCGTGGTAAAGGATAGGAGAGCGGGGACAGCTGAGACAGCAGAAGACTCACAGCTAAATGAGTAACTGACCAAGTATCAACACCCGACTTCAGGGACTTCTGTCAAATGCCCGGGACATTTCAGATGCATCTTCTCCACAGTTTCTCTGCAATCAGGGAAATCAACAAGGCACTCTTCTGACACCGGTTAGCGCAGGCTCAGCAACAGGCAGGTGAGCGTGGCGAACTTCTGACCTGCCCCCAGTAATCGCTGCTCCCGGGGTCCCTATCCATTGCAATCCCTGTGTTTCAGCAGACCGAAACCGCTCCTTGTAACCCTCTCGCTTGTGAACCTCGCTTGTCTCCCTTTCTTGCTCTGATGACTCGCAGCAAGCTTTGCAATGTTCTGGAAAGACCGCATGGCAAGGGACCCAAGGATGACCCTCCAGTCAAAAGCCAAGATGAACTGAGGGAAGCCTGGAAAGAACCGATTCAGTCAACAACCATATGGGTGAACTAGGAAGTGGACCCTTACGTCAAACTCTCAGGTCACTGCACCTTGTAAGATCCTGAGCTAGGCCTAGACTCCAACCCACAAGAAGGAGATAATAAATGTGCATCGTTCTACACTTCAAAGTCTGGGGATACTTTGTTCTAGAGCAGTAGATAAACCTTTTACTTGGTCTAGGCATGTGGCTCTGTGGTAGACACTTGTCTACTATGAAAGAGGCCCCAGTTCCAATCCCCAGCACTTAAAACAAAACAAACAAAAAACCCCTGTGTCTCATGAGAGTATACCGGAGGCATATCTGACTTCCCTAGTGTAACTGAGTGCTGACTGACACATGGATAAATTATGAGAAATGCAAAGTTAAACAACTTCAAAATTGAGCAAATATCAAGGAGTGAAATTCTACAGAGAGATGGCTAAGCCTGTATGTAATCCAACCTCAGGACCGCCTTCTTCTGTGAAGTCCACCAGTAACCAAAACATCACGATGGAGAGAACTTCCTATTCCACTCTTCGAAGACTCTGTTCTAAGCTACCAGTCTACGGTAGACATGGAAGATGAAGGCCAAGTATGATTCTGCACCACCCAGTGATCGATGCAGCCACCATACTAAATGAAGGAAACCAGACCAGACACAAAGTTACAGGAGATGTTCACAACAGACCAACCCACAGAGGCAAAGGAAATCCGTGGCTGGGAGGACAGGACAGGAACAGAGTGATGATTGCTAATGGGAAGATTAAAAATATAATAAGCTTGATGTAATTCAGTAATGCTCAAAGCACAACTAAAGTTTCACAGTTAAGGATGAGTTGCATTTTCACAATACCGCTATGTAACTTAAAAACACAGTGTGGAGGGGATGTCAGACACCCACTTCTGGCCTCCAAGAACATTAGGCACATATATGGTACACAGACATACGTGCAGGCAAAACACTCATACACATAAAATAATTAAGTAATAAGTACATTTTTTTTTAATAAACAAAGAATTTAAAAGCACAAAGAACCCTGTAAGAGCTGCAGTCTATTCCCATAAGAATCAAAATTCTCAAATGTTTTGTCAATAACAAAAAAGCCACATGGGTCTCAGCTAGAAGGCCTGAGCAGTCTAGCTGCTCAGTGGAACCAGAATGTATTCCTGATGCACAAATGGACCTTGCGGACACATCCCCCATGGAGAGATACTCCCTTAACCTAGAGACAGGAGAGAAGTCCTAGTCCCTACTTCAAATAACTTGTCAGATTTAGATGACCCCTCCTGGAGGGCAACACCCTACATGTGGAGTGGGGGGATGGGAGGGGAGGGTGGTCGGGGTGCATGGGGGGGGAGAGAGGGAAAGAGGGAGGGAGGAAGGGAAGAGGGAACTGGGACTGATATGTAAAATAAAAAAATTAAATTAAATTAAAAAAAAGAAGAAAAAAATATCACTTGTGGGAAAGATGGCAATAGTGAGTGACTGCTAAAAAAAGCCTTTCTAGTCACAAATGTTTTCATTTATTTTTAAAAGATACTTATTTTTAAAAGATAAAAGGTTTAAAAGATGGGATCTTACTATGCACGCAGCCCCTCTGGATTAAAATTCGATATGTAGAATTTTATATGGAGTCCTCAAATTCACGGACTTCCCACCTGCCTCTGCGATTAAAGGCTGGGATTAAAGGGGTGAGCCACCCATTCATTTTTTTTTAGTTATGTGTGTGTGTGTGTGTGTGTGTGTGTGTGTGTGTGTGTGCCTGGGTAAGTTTTGTGTACATCATGTGCACGCAGGAGCCTGTGGACACCATAAAGTGGGTCAGATCCCCTGGAACAGGTGTCACAGGTCGTTGTTGGTGGCTGACCCATCTTCCTAGCTCCCCAATCACAAGTATTTAAGTGAATAAAAAATTTGAACACTATGCAAGCAGACAGATGCTGATAATAGCAATTCAGATGAAAAGAACACAACACAGATAAGTTCCATCACAGTCCCGTCTCATTGTTTAATTCTGAGTTGCTTCTCGCCCACAACAGGACACAGGGAGCCTGGTACAGCAGCATCCCACCACTCCATCTGCTCACAGGACCTGGGGATCCCAGAGCACAGCAGCACTAGAAAGCGCTCCCAGCCCGGTGTGCCCATGTGCAAGCCCTATGCAAGGCCGCCCTGGGATCCAAAGTATCTGGAACTGTAGAGAAAATTCTGCTCCACCCTCCATTAAGAACTAAAATGCCATAAAATGCATGGCTACGCTATGAGGTGTGGACTCAGCTTGGGTTGTAGGAACATCACCAGTACTGTGCCCGCATCAGGACAAAGATAAACTCAAAGAACTCTGAGAGACAACAATCTTCCTCCACCAGAGAGGATGACTGCTATGTGACAGAGATAAAGGAAGAAGGAGGCCAAGCATGATCCTATGACTTACGAGCAAGAAAGTAGGGGGTGGCCATGGAAGACACGTAAGCCACAGAAACAACCCCTGCCGTCACTTCCACAAGCAAGGGCTGAGTAACAGAAGTAAGTTGCTGCAAACCACAGACAATCACGTGGAACTCTTCAGACAAACCCATTACCCTCCAGGTCCTGCTAGGGCAAACAGACAGTTTCTCATTATAATGAAATGAATTACAAACAAAAACCAGCGGCCGCTCAGTGAAAGGGAGAAAGCTTGCCTGGAGGTCTAGTGCCTCATTCTGAAAAGTGCATGAACTCTGGACCTCCTGTGTCCCCCTGCAGAGCTAGAGACCATTTTCCACTTCAATGCATGCTGAGATAAATGCAACAGAGACGGGATAAATGCAATAAAGACTGGATAAATGCAGCAGAGAAGGGATAAATGCAACAGAGACTGGATAAATGCAGCAGAGAAGGGATAAATGCAACAGAGACTGGATAAATGCAACAGAGACGGGATAAATGCAGCAGAGTCTAGGATAAATGCAGCAGAGACGGGATAAATGCAACAGAGACGGGATAAATGCAGCAGAGACGGGATAAATGCAACAGAGACGGGATAAATGCAGCAGAGACGGGATAAATGCAACAGAGACGGGATAAATGCAGCAGGTAGAGATAAAGCCTCAAGACAGAGTCCATTCTCCCTTCCACCTGCAGATTCCCAGAGCTGGAACTCAAGTCACCAGGCGTGGTGGCAAGAGGGTTCTCGGAGCTGTCTCACCTGACTAAACTCTGCTTGATTTTCAATTCATCATTTCATGATAGAAATTATATCTGGAGTTGTTTTTTTTTTTAAACAAACAAACAAAACACATATTTGACTAATTAGACATTACCTGTGTGATATTTTTAGAAGACATAATTGCCTGATTATAGAATATACGGCCAAAATGGTCCCGATCTGGAAAGGTGTCGGCTTGCCGAGGTAAGTTGGCCCCTCCTGAGTCAACTGCACGAGGAAAAGGAGAGAGATGAGCACAGCTAGCGAATGGCCATGGCTAATCAGATCCTCCCGCTAATGTGTTCTAGAGTCTCGGACCCCCTAGCACAACCAAACGTTTCCTCCCAACATGTTAGGCTTTCCAATATTGCATCAAAACCCCACATGAACTGCTCAGGACATTCTGTCCCTTCAAGGGCAGCCAAAGACCCAGAGATACCATGAATTCTCCAGGAACTGAAAACCTGCATCTTCCTAGACCAATATAAGGAACCATTAAAGAATTAGTGGGTAATTTACACTTTGCTTTCTTGTACTATTTCTCTTGTTTTTATTTGTTTTTTTTTTTTTTTTTCTTTAAGTGGTTTAACTGTATGGCTCATGCTGTGATCCTCCTGCCTCAGCTTCCTAAGCATTAAGATGAGTTTTACTACAGATTGAAGTCATGGACAACAAGGCCTGCCATCACTCAGGATGTCCAGGCATGTGAACCCAGCTTGGGTTACACAGGGAGACTTTTGTCTCAAAACAGAGTTCCTTATTTCATAGCTCCAACTTCCTTAGCTATGAAATGAACAACAGTAGCAATGCATATAGTTATGAGGAGGACATGAAGTTATGAATATAAAAGCCTTTAGTCCAGCATCTACTCTGAGTGTACAGAATAAATGTTTAAAAAGAAAAATAAGTGTTAGGTGTGGTGGTGCACACCTTTATAATCCTAGCACTTGGGAGGCAGAGGCTGGAGGATCTCTGTGAGATCCAACTTAGCCAAGGATACATACATAGACTGTGTCTCAAAGAGAGAGAGAGAGAGAGAGAGAGAGAGAGAGAGAGAATTGGGGATTCGCTAATCTTACACCTACTGTTATTGTCTACAATCATTGCCTTTCATTATTTATTATTTTGCATCCAGGCTGACTTTAAATATGGCCATACTCCCTGAAGACAGAGACAATGTTACTATGCCTCTAGTGACTGGCAGGTGGGCCTGCAAGCAGTTTGGCTTCATTTGCTGTTTTTCTGTGTAAGTTCATACTATGAGTCAACCAGGCAAATTCACTTTCCCGGAAAAAGAAAAACAAGTATCTATTATGACCTGTTCAAGTGTTTACAAATGAATAACACGTGCTAGGATTCTGGCAGACTAAACCAGTATCCAAAAGCTGCCAATTCTAAATTGCTTTGCTTTTAGAGTCTACTCAAAACAGCCTTTAATGCAAATGTAGTTTCCTCTCAAATGAAGATGGGCTCTCTCAGGAAATCAAGTGTACCTTGACTTACAATCCATTCAAGTTATGTAATACTCAAGTATTTAACACAGCGCCTGCCCCTCAAGAGATCCATAAATACTAGCCATTTTTTAATAGTTCAAGTTAATTATTGTTAACAGAAAAATAAGCTATCCAGGGGAAGAGCTAGCACACAACAGACTGTTAATTTAGCTCCGTGGTACTACGGGCAGGTCTTAGTTACCTTCCCCCATCGTTCTCAGCAAACACTATATTCCCTTCTAGCTCAGGAGGACCCAGCAGTGTTTTAAAGCAGCCAGTGAGGGCATCATCCACACAGCCTCCCACAGTCTTCCATTTTCCCAGCTACGCAGTCCACAGTGCACCCGTGACTTGCCCAGATAGATGCACGGGAGCCTGTTCTGCAGGGCTATCTCTTGTGCCCGCACGTGCTTCTTCACGGTCACTGGGTAGTAGCTGCCTCCTTTGACGGTGGCATCGTTGGCCACAATCATGCATTCTACTCTGAAAGGCAGAAGTGCCAAGAGACTATGAGATTTCTGCAAAACGAGAGGCAATTAAGCTCATTATAACTAGAGCATGCAATATGGCCTTCAACTTCCAATCCACGTCACTAATGCCTCTCCCAGTTCATGGCCTTGTGCTGCAAAACCAAGCTTTAATCATGGTTCACATTTGTCAATTCAATAGAAAATGACTACTTCTAACAGTATTATACACGTTTGATTTTTAAAGAGTCGTTAGTATTGAGATATTAACCTAAGCCACTGTTCAGTAAGGTTCTTTTCTGTTCCCTTTCCTTTTTTTATGATTTTATTTATTTTATTAGATGGATCTGGTTTTACCTGCATGTATATCTGTACTCCACACAGGTATAGCACCAATGGAGGTCGGGAGAGTGTTGGATCCTCTGGAACTGGGGTTATAGACAGCTGTTAGCTGCATGTAGGTGCTGGGAACTGAATCCCAGTCCTCTGAAAGAGCAGGCAGACTTCCTAACCACTCCAGCCCTCAGTATGGTTCTAGAAATGAAAGGACCCTAACAAGATGATGATGTCTTTTTAAAAAATACAATTCCCTAGGGCAAGGAACTCTATTATAGTGACTCTTTAAACTGTCCTCCTAAGTGGCTGGAGAGATGGCTCAGTAGTTAAGAGCACTGACTATTCTTCTAGCGGACCCAGGTTCAATCCCCAGCACCCACATGGCAGCTCACAGCTGTCTATAACTCCAGTTCCAGGGGACCCAACACCTCACACAGACACACACACAGGCAAAACACCAATGCATAAAATAAAGGTAAATAAATTCTAAAGAATCTTTTTAAGAAAGAAACTAAATCGGGCTGGGGAAGACAGCTCAGCAGTTAAGAACACTGCTGAGGACCCAGGTTTGGTTCCCAGCACCCACATGGTGGCTCACAAGCATCTGTAACTCCAGTTCCATAAAGTCCAGTATCCTTGTCTGATCTCCCTAGGCACCAGGCACACACGTACATTCAGACAAAAACACTCATACACATATTTTGTTTAATAAAAAATAAATTTTAAAAAAGTAGAAAACCATGAGAATAAACTGCCAGTAGTATTAAGATACATTTTCATATTTTTAAAAGTGACTTAATAGCTGTAAGTAGTAGTATTTGTAATCCCAGCACTTGAGAAATAGGGGCAGGAGGCCAGCCTGGGCTAAAGAGTAAATAAAACCCTGTCTTTAAAAAAGAAGGTCTGAGGATTTGGCTCAGTGGACAGCATAGAGTTTAAACTCCAGAACCACAAGAGAAGTCAAAACCAGTGTTCTTTACTATTACAACCATGGGAAGCAAAGAAACCACACACACACACACACACACACACACACACACACACACACACACACACACACGATCTTTCTAAAATATGTTGTTTGATGTCACAGTAAATCTATTTTAAATAGTATAACACAAAAGGCTATGTATATGGATTAGCTGGGAGAGTATTGCATGATACACTAAAAGGCCTAAGCTGGATTCCCAGTGTAACATACAGCTGTCAGGGTGGCATATACCATAATCAACCCCCACATAGACTTGTCACAGAAAGAGAAATAAACTCAGTTCACAAAAAATACTGCCGTGCGCACCTGCTGTGGCTTTGCCTATACAGCACCTATTATTTGGTACTGGAACTAAACTCTCCTTTGGAAACTGCTGCTCTTTTTAAGCCACATGGTTCAAGCAGCACACTCCACAGCCCAGGAGAGCACATGAACCAGGCGGCCTTCCCAGCCAGTGTCCCGCCGTGGCGGAGCAACCAGCAGACTGCAGCATAAGCCTCCTCTGTCAACTGCAGCCACCTGCAGCCACCTCTGTCTCTGGGTGTGAGAGCCAACACAGCCAGGCAGGACCAGGAAGAGCTGACAATATAATGTCCTGCCAAACTTTCTACTATGGACACTTAAACCGCAACAATGTTCATGTCACATGTATGAAATGAGTGGACTTTTCCCAACCCTGACACCCCACGCTAGAGAGGCTATAGTCAACTCATACATCATCTTCCCTCCCCATTTGTCTGTCTGGGAGAAATCTATATTTGAGAATTCATTGATCCCTGGATACCGATGTCCAGGGAGAACAACTCCAGACAGAATAGTTTGTATACCAGTCTGACATTCTCAGACACAGTTCTCGGGCTCTGCTTCTAGCATTCTTTCGCCAAAGAGAAGTAAACGGCGCCTACCCACTCCTTCCTTAAAGGGTCCCAATGATAAACCGAAGTGTACTTCCACCAAAGCACAACCCGAGGAATCAATGACTCTCCTGGGCTTGGTGAGGGACCGCTTGCAGTGGTGGGTGACTCCAAAGAAGTCACGCCCAAGTCTTCACCTGGCACCGGTGGCATTTCCCCACAGCTCTATCACTCAGTTGACATTCCCTGACCTCTACTCTAGTGCCTCTGCTTGTAATCAACAGGCTGGGCGGAGCTGCTGAAGTCTCCGGGGAGAGTCCAGTGACCCTCACACCCACTCTGAGAGAAAGCCAGCCGTTTCAGCTCTGACTGGGTGGTCTCCAGCAAGAGATTAGACGGAGAGCTTCTGAAAACTCAGCATGCCAACAGGGAAGATGTATTTTCCCTTTCCACGGAGAGCTTCTGAAAACTCAGCATGCCAACAGGGAAGATGTATTTTCCCTTTCCAAGCAGGTATCAACTGCAAATGGTTTCTTGGTGGGGGGGGGCTTTATGCCCACTTCCCTTTCTCAGGGCTGGGATGTCATTTGGGTTAAACACATGTGTGCTGTCACAGTCTCTGTGAGCTCACACGTGTACCAGTCCTGGTGTGTTTGAAACATGTTTCCTTGGAGCCGGCCACCACCTCCGGCTCACACAACCTTTCTGTCTCCTCTTCCGAACAGACTTTTGTCTCACTGATTTTCCTTTTTATTTATTTAATTTTTGAGACGGGGGTTTCTGTACACAGCCCTGGCTGTTCTGGAACTCACTATGTAGACCAGGCTGGCCTCAAACTCAAGAAATGTGCCTACCCTGTGTGCTGGAATTACAGACATGCCCCACCACACCTAGCTTTAATGCCTTTTTTATTGCTGTTTTTGTTTCAGTTTGTCCGTTTTTTCTCTCTCTCCGTCTCTCTCTCTTTTATGAGAGAGAGAAAAAACATGAATTTATATGGGTAGAGAGGTGGGGAAGTGAGGGAGTCTAAATGGGATCCAGAAACTCTGGGTGAATTTTCCTCTTCTCCCTTTGGTTTGTGGTCTCTACAGCTCCGCAGACGAACCTAGCCTTAAAGAGCACGAAGCTTACCTGCCAACATGGAGGGTGAGTGACAGGTACAGCGTTCACAGTTCCTGCCCCTCATAATTGAGCACAGGTGGGGTACTCACCCTGACACTCGCCCGATGCCTGTAATGATACCACCTGCAGGGACTTCCTCGTCACCATATAACTGGTACCCTGCAAACTGGGAGAATTCCAGAAAGGGAGACCTAAAGGAAAGAAAGGATGTTGAGTAACTTAAGTATCCGTTCTTAAAAAGTTACACATAAGAATAGAAAGACTATTTTTTAAACAGGTCAGTATTTCAAATATGCACGTTACACATACAATCTATAAGATTTCAAAAATAAGAACTGACAAGAATGTCATAGGAATTTATATGGTACAACCAGCTAATGATCTATTATAAAATACTGGAACTTCTTGTTAAAGTGCTATGCAAATGTGTATATTACCATAGAAAGGAAATAACGGGACATTTACCATGTGCCTGGTTAGCGTTTTCATAAATACTAACTCGTTTGCTAATGAGGAAACCGAAACCCAGTCGTTGCCTAAGGTCACACAAGTGGTAAATGGCAGATCTGGGATTTCCATAAGCAATCTGTCCCCAGGTTGTTGCTGGAGTTCCTTGTCCTGCCAGGTCCCACCTATGCTCTCAGGCCCAAATAACCACATGGACACTATATTAATTATAAAACTGTTGGCCGACGGCTAGGGCTTCTTATTGGCTAGCTCTGCCTTAATTATTAACCCATAACTACTAATCTATGTGTTTCCACATGGTCTTATCTTACTGGAGAATGCCTGGCGTGTCCTTTCTTCACTGTCCCTACATGGTGTCTCTTTGCCTACTTTTCCCAGAATTCTCCTCGTCTCCTAGTCCCGCCTATCTTCCAGCCTCTATTGGCCAAACAGTGCTTCATTCATCAACCAATAAGAGAAGCATGTATGCAGAAGGACCTCCCCCATCAGCAGGTGCCAGGCTCTTATCCTTTCACTTACACATGTGTTCAGGACCCAACAGGGTGAAGGCAGCCGAGGATGCTAGATGCGGCGTGATTAATTGCCTTTCGTTTTGTTTTTCTGATGCAGGTGCCTGGTACTCATCTGCACAGAAAATGACCTAAAAGAGCACAAGCTAGTGGCTATGAGAAGGTTCACCTAGTAGACAATTTGGGTTTGATCCCTGGATTGTATAAGAGAACGCTGAAGTGACACACTTCATGGTATGATCCAGAGAGCACAAGCTGTGGGGTGACTCTGTCACTCACAAGAAAAACGACAAAACAAAACTACATGGACACAACCTAACACAGTGCAATGTCTTAGACCAGGCAATATAATCTTACGGGCCTACTACCGTAAATGTCATCACACACCATGTGACTTAGAAACTCAACAAGTTCCCTCTTTTTCTGAGAGTCAGAACTGACGGGTCCTCCAGAATCAGAGCCCAGCCCTACTATTCTCCTCTCCACACCGTTTGCTTCGGCTACACTGGCCTCCTGGGCACTGGCCAAACACAGCACCACTGTCTCACTCACTGCACAGCTTTGGTAGTGGTGTTTCATCTTCCCAGATGTTTCCCGCTCATTTCCTGACTCCCTGTGCCCAGCAGGGCAGAGGTGTCTGTCCATGTCATACCCTGTTTCATTTGTCCCATTCTCTCAATGAATCCTATACGGCCTCAATTTAAAACCATTTGTCAATGGGACTATCCAGCAGAACAGAGGACTCGATGAGGGAACAGGCGCTAGTACCAACCCCGGGTCTAAGAGACTGTCGATTCTGTCTCTGGGTAAGAGTTTTCCTCTTGATGTGTGCCGGGCCCGGGCTTTCTCGCTGCCCCCTGCAATAAAAGCATGGTCACATCAGCACTGATAGACACAAGCTAGGCTTCCATCTCACTGAATGCTAGGAACACATGCAATGCCCCACTCCAACATGGCTCTTTAAAAATGATTCAGTGGAACATATAGTGGTGCCTTTAATCCCAGCACTTGGGAGGCAGAGGCAGGTAGATCTCTGAGTTCAAGGTCAGCTTGCTCTACAGAGTAAGTTCTAGGACAGTCAAGGGTACACAGAGAAACACTGTCTGGAAAACCAACTAAATAAATAATAAAAAGAAAAATACAAAAGGTTCAATGTCAATTTTGTGTAGTAAATAAGCTTAATTTTTTAATGGCATATGCATAGAACACACACACAAACACACACACACTTGGGTCTGGGGAGATGGTTGTCAATAAGTTCCTGCCATGTAAGTATGAGGACCTGAGTTTGGATCCCCAGCATCTGTCTAAAAGCCAGGCACAATAGCACGATCTCTTATCCTAGCACCAATGGGCTGACAATCCTGAAGCTAACTTGCAAGACAGCCAGTTCATCATCTGAATTGATGAATTCCAGGTTCAGTGAAAGACCGTGCCTCAAAAACTAAAGCGGAAAGTAACAAAGAAAGAGACAATGTTAACCTCTGGCCTCCACACAAAAATATTCATGTACACCATCTCCCCACCACCACACATGCCCGAATATACACATACATACACCATATGTTCATATAGTAATCTATTCCTGACCTTAGAGTATATATCACACATGTCCTGAATTCACTAGTAACAGTCTAAAGTGATGACATGCTATTTTCATTAGAATTCACACACTACAATATCATCTCATTGCCTCACATGTACGAAATACTACCATGTATACATGTATCACGTTGTACATGTGAACATCCCTATTTTGCCTTTGAACCAAGTAAAAGTCTAGCTTTGGAAATTCCCTCCATGCTTGACATGTGCAAACTTGCCTGAAGGTGCCACTAGGTCTGCACATGAGGAAGCTAAAACCCTTCCACAGTGCTCAGCAGGTAACATCCCGACTCAGAGATGGCCACTGCAAGAGAGGGAGACGCATCAAGCTGCCAGAAAATGCGTTTTACTGCTGTCCCCAAAAGTATCTTATCAAGGCCTCTGTCTAATAAAGTAGTCAACAAATTAAGGGCGCCATTTCTTTTTTTATTAGTTTTGTTTTGTTTTTTGTTTTGTGGCAGGATTTCTCTGTATTGCTTTGGATCCTGTCCTGGAACTAGCTCTGTAGATCAGGCTGGCCTTGAACTCACAGAGATCTGCCTGCCTCTGCCTCCTGAGTGCTGGGATTAAAGTTGTGCAGCACCTACGCCCGGCGTTCATACCTATTTCAAACAAGCGTCTAAATTTCTAAATACAGCCGTATTTTTCAAATCAGGGATCTTGGCTGCAAAAGGTATCCTTTTTTATCTTCTTAAGAGGTACACAGAAAATTCTTAAGAGTAAATCTACTTTTAGGTCACCAAGAAAATTATATCACAAAGTATTTCTTCTTTCAAAATGAGTTAGTATGCATGCAAGATAGTATAATTTCCTTCCATCTTCTGGCCAAGTCCCTAACAAGGTGAGTTTGGGCGTGGGTGGGTGGGTGGATATGAAGGCATTACAAAGAGCAGAAGTTCTAGAGGATGCTACCCTGATTCTGGTGTTGGTATACGGCTCAAAAGGCTTCTAACCACATACTTTTAAGGTAGCTTATGGTACACTAATTTATTCCAATATTTAAAAATAAACAAAAGGACTGCCTATGTGACTTTAAAATAAAGTAAAGAAAGCAAGACTTGGGCAAAAGTCTTTTCTTTGTAAAGTAGGTGACTTCGGTGCTTATCAGGGAGCCAGCAGTCGAGGAGCCAAAAGTGGGGGTGTGTAACAATGAGGGAGAGGGAAAAGGGTACTTAAGACAGTGTCCCTCCTCTCTGTAAGACAGTGTCCCTCCTCTCTGGCTCTGACTCAGGCTGATGGAGCAGCTGGTAATACTCTGGTTTCACAGGGAGCCACGGTGAGTTCTCCTTGGTGCAGACCCATTCTGGCAGACTTTGGATGGAAGAACTTGACATTTCCCTTCATAAAAAGGCATTTTTATTAAGCACACACTGTGTGCAATCCATTAAATCACACATATTCTAAGATTCGAAATGTTCACACGTTAGCATCCCTGAAACCAGGAAACGTTTTACATCAGGATTCCAGCATCTTTCAAAGGCTGTCTGCCAGGGGCCAGTCAGGACCCAGGGTCTGCTTCTGCACACTCTGATGCCTCGCTGCTGACCACCATGAGTGGAGTTTGTTCTCCATGTTTAAATGCCTTAAAAAAAACAAAATAATAGAACAAAACAATAGGAAAAAAATGCCTCGACCACCAAAGCCATCTGTAGATGTTTACCTCCAAAAAGATATTCCCAGGATAAAAACAAAGCACTTCTAAATTTATCAAAACACTTACAGCCCTTTGATTAATGTGGGTTAATCAAAATACTCAAAATACTTTTTTTTTTTTTTTTTTTTTTTTTTTTTTTTTGGCTATTATGAAAGCACCACAGGGGTAATTCATTCTCTGCCTACAGAAGTGATCCAGCCACTATAACCGGCTGGGCTCAACAGGTTAAAAAAGGGGTGTGTGTGTGTGTGTGTGTGTGTGTGTGTACGTGCATGCGTGTGTGTGTGTGTGTGTGTGTGTGTGTGTGTGTGTGTGTGTGTACGTGCGTGCGTGTGTGGCAGCGGGGGTGAGGGATGGGGTGGACCAAAGACAGTAACGCCAGAGAAGAAACCTTCGAACTTTCAAGGATGTGGGCAGAGGAGAGAAAGGGGGAAAGAAGCCAAGAGTCAACCAAAATACCCAGGCTTGCAGGCGCCATGGTCTCACTAATGAAGAACTTCAAGGGTACCTAAGAAAAACCCCAAACACCTGCGCCGCCTCCTGTCTGAAAACTCCATCAGAAACTGCATTCGCCCAAAAGTCAGAAGTCTCAATTAAAAACTGGGTGGGGGTGGGGGGGGCAAGTAACATTCCCTAACCATCACCAGTCAGTCTACAGCATTCAGATCCAAACTAGGGAGGAACGTCCAGAGCCCCAAACAGCACAAAAGCCAAACACATATTGCTACTAGAGTGACTGGACCCGCCCAAAGCTGTGCTAACAATGTATATTTAGAGGGATTGTTTACGGTGGTTTTTTCCCTTGATACTTCTTCATTTTCCAAATTTTCTATATTTTAATATGGTTTAATAATAAACATAAATTAATATGATGCCCACTTATCTTTTTTTTTTTCAATACAGTGTTTCTCTCTGCAGCTTTGGAGACTGTCCTGCAACTCGCTCTGTAGACCAGGCTGGCCTCAAACTCAGAGATCTACCAGCCTCTGCCTTCTGAGTGCTGGGATTAAAGGCATGCATTTTCATGGCAGAACAATTCAAGGCAAAACTGTGAAAGCCAAAATCATCCTTTCTCCCAGCCTCTGTCCCCTGCAGGCCTGTTCCACCTCCTGCTGGAGAGCAGCCTTTCCCTGCAGCTTTCCAGAGCCCACCACCCTCAGCCGGTACACACTGTAGGACTGGATCCCTCTAGATTCAAAGCCATCTGTCTTAAGGGCCCAGGAACCCTCAACTGATCATGGGTGTAACCATGGGGTTACTTACCTCTTCCAACAAAACAGATTTTTACTTTGGCAAGTGTGTGCGTTCTTTTTCTAGAGACAGTGTACTAATCTATGTCTTTGTTCTTTTCTGGGGCACAGAGGTGGGTATGCTGGGAATCGAACTCGGAACGTTATGCTAAAGCATGCACACCAACCATCACTGAGACAATAACCCTGCTTCTCTAGAGACAATTCCTTTTAAAGTGCTGTCCAACCCTTTGCCATGTTGACATGACACCATCAACTACGAGGTTACTGGAGGATATGTAAACTGAGTGACCAAATGTCTCCTCGTGTTTTAAGTAAGTCGATGATTTTGTGACGGGCCACACTTGTGGCTGTCCTTGGCCAGAAGGCTGCAGCTTGCTCATTCCTACAGCACTTTAAAAGTGAATTACAGCCATCTTTGTGAAATGGATTTCACTCATTTTGACTGGACTGCTACAGTAGAAAGACAGAGACCAATACATTCTAGATTCCTCTATTTCATTTGCTTCTATTGTCTGTTCCCCAAGATAAAATTGTGTATTTAAAGTACTCACCCCTAAGTTTAAAACTTAGATATAAATAGAACCTGAAAGTTGTTTTCAGAGTTAAATGAAGTAAAGGGAGGAGGATGTAGCTGGGTTAGTGGGGCACTGGTTCCATCCCTAGCCACACATAAACTGGGCGTGGTGGGCTCATCTGTAATCCAGCGATTGGGAGGTGGGAGCAGGGTGGATGAGGACTCCAAGGTCATGGTCCAAGTCCAGTCTGGGCTATAAGTTGCCTTGTCTCAGAAACAAAGTGCTTAGCAATAAAACTAATGTCTGACACATCTCTCAAAACTTTCTCCAGGACCAACATTGTGGGTCTTTCTTCCCTAACGCAGTACCTTTTGGTGGCCTCTCTGTTTGCCCAGTCAGTCACCTTAAAAAAAAAAACTTCCTAAAGAAAACAAATACATAGGATGTTTTTTATATTTTCACTTCTCTAATTACTCCAACAGATGAAAGCCATCTTCCAAGCACAGTAGTACCTAAGAATGCGACAGTACTCTCAGAGCACAGGTATGGTGATGCAGACTTGACCTGTGAGGACACTGGGGACAACAGTTTTTAATGAGAGTTAGAAAATTCACACTGCCCCTGCTACAGTAGGGACCTTGTAAGAGACGAAGAATCTCACTTCGCAGTTGGGAATGGTAGCAGATGACTGGGATCTCGGTGTCTGGGAGATTGAGGCAAGAGGGTTGTGCATTCAAGGCCAGCCTGGGGTTCACATTAGGCTATATAAGATGACAGACAGACAGACAGACAGACACAGTGCTTACCTAGTCTCACATACTGGGCTCGTTCATGAAGTTGACTCACTAGAGCTTTCATCTGCTCATAGTTCTCCTGAAACAGAAGCAAAGAAGGAGGGAGACGGGGATGTTATAAAGTCGTTATCCTTTACCCAAAGTAAGAGTCAAGAAACGCACAAGAAATGCACAGGAGGTGGCTCAGCTGTTTTGAGTTCTTTTGCTCTTTCAGGGGACTCAGGATTGGTTCCCCAGCACCCACAGGGCAGCTCACAACCACCCATAACTCCAGGGGATCCGACACTCTCTTCTGGTCTCAATAGGCTCCTACAAGCACAGGGCATATACATTAATTTAAGCAACACATATACATAATAATAGATGCATAAATATTAAAACACAATCCAAGGCAGAGAGTGTGGCCAGAGGTGAGGAGCCTGCAGTACAATCCCATACTGCAAAGACAGGAAGAAAAGTACCAACCTATGCCATCTCTGTGAACATCCACACAGGGCCACCCACCGGCCCACCTACGTGGCCACCCTAGAACGGTTAAAACTCCTGCCCACTTGTTCAGCTCTTACTTAAGCCCATCAGCCCCTCAGACCCACCGTCTCCAAGTATGGGTCCATGTTAAGTCCTAATCATGTTTACTTCTTTTCAGGGTCACTCTGGGCACTCTACTCTTCTTTAAAAGTCTACTGAATTTACTTGGTACACACTTGCTGCTCCCCTGACTTTTTTGTTTATTTGGTTTTTTTTTTAAACAATGTTTCTCTGTGTAGCCCTGGCTGGCCTGGAAGTCAGAGATCCACCTGCTTCTGCCTCCTAAATGAAGAGATTAAAGGTATATGCCACCATCGCCCAGCTGTTTGCCACGCCCTCTGGGTAGTGAAATTTAAGGAACTGGTTTTGTTGTTGCTACTGCCGTTTAGGACAGGGTCTCACACCGGCCAGGCTGGCCTAATTCATTTTGTAGCTGAGAATGGCACTGAACTTCAGACCTGCTAGCCTCTACCACCCACGTGCAAAAATTACAGGTGTGAACTACCACATTCTGCCTTGATAACATACTTTTATGGGTCAGAAGCCATGTTTTGTTGACCACTATTTTGTCCCGACCATCACCAGTCATTATCCTGAGATTCTAGCCAATGCAAAAATACTCAATTGCTGATAAAGATACGTAAAAACACGAAGTTCAGTGGCAGAGGGGTGGGGAGGAGGAGTGGGGTGGGAGGAAGGAGGAACCAGGAAGAGGTAGGTGAGGTGGGGGGGATGCATTGTGCTTCACATTTTAAAAACAATCTGAGGAGTAGACTTAGGAGAATCCAGAGTTCAAGGTCATCCCCAACTACACAGTCAGTTTGAAGCCAGCCTGAGCTACATGAGATCCTTTCTCCAAAAAGAAAAAAAAAAAAGGCCAAAAGATTAGATTTTAAAATATATATATATATATATATATATATATATGTATATACATATATATGTATATACATATATATGGTAAAGATAAGAACCAAACTACATGTTCACCCAAGCTTAAATATCTTCTGAGTGGCTCAGATGAAACTATTAATCTTGAGAAGCAGAAAAGGTAAGGGGACACTCTCCACCCTCCTGCATTTTCAAATCTTGTTCACTCAGCAAACTACTTTAGGGCAATGTCTATGCACCTAGTTATTTTGTCCCACCAAGATATTTTGCTCCCCATGATGTGATTTCTATCTCTGATTAGTTCTTCATAGTGCTAGAATGCTAGCCGGATTCCCAGTTTTATAGCAGGCAGAGTGCAACCCCGGAGCCCTCTCTACCCAACAGCCCTGCACACCACCTCCCTTCCGAGCCCATGCCCTGCACCCCAAGGGCCTGCTGGGAACTCAGAAGCTGTCTGGAACATCATCTCCTCACCTGACTCCTACCTTAGCTTATTGGAAAGCTTCTAGAAGATGGATGGATGGATGGATGGATGGATGGATGGATGGATGGGAGGGTGGGATGGGTGGGTGGGATGGATGGATGGGTGGGATGGATGGATGGGTAGGTGGGTGGATGGATGGGTAGGTGGGTGGGTGGATGGATGTATGTGTGGGTGGGATGGATGGATGGATGGGTTGGTGGGTGGATGGATGTGTGGGTGGGTGGGATGGATGGATGGGTAGGTGGGTGGATGGATGGATAGATGGATGGATGGATGGGTAGGTGGGTGGATGGATGGATGGGTAGGTGGGTGGATGGATGGATGGGTAGGTGGATGGGTGGGTGGGTGAAAACTGATGCCTGGCCTCCTCCCACAGTCTGTTGGGAGTCGCAGGTCTAGACTGTGTTCAGAGCTTTGAAGTTCCTTGGGTGATCCTAACCTGCAACTCAAATGGGAGAAACACTAACAATAATCCCAATTCTGAGGTTTGACTTGTGGGGGCTACTGGGAGGTTAGTGTGTGGCAAATCCCTCTTTCCCACAGGGCTCTTCTTGACTTTCTAGTACTTGCTGGTAGTAACACGAGGCAGTGAAATCCAAGGAGAAGCTCCGCTCTTATTATATTTATTTTATTACTTTTGGTTTTTCCAGACAGGGTTTCTCTGTGTTGTCCCAGAGCTCACTTTGTAGACCAGGCTGGCCTTGAACTCACAGAGATTTACCTCTGCCTCCCAAGTTCTGGGATTATAGGTGTGCACCACCAATGTCCAGCTGCTCCGCTATTACTAAATCCAGGAGACTGCCCTTATTACCATACCAGCAGGATGGAAGCTGTTGCCTGGCAAGAAATGAAGCCCGAGAGCATGTCTGTTCCACCAGTCACCAAGAGGTGGCATTAGAGCAGTGTCATCTAAGGTGTATGAAGGCCTTTCAAAAGCTCCTGACTGGACTGTCCAGAACTGTTCTGGACTGCTTTGTCATGGGAGATCGCTGGCACTGGACCAGCCTCGTATGCACAAATCAGACAGTGGTAGACGGGGCTCGAGGCAGTGCAGCCAAAGGCAGTCTCTATATCTGTCAGGGAGTCTCATTTCTCTCCCAAAAGCTCTCATCAAACTTCAGGCTGCACCCACCACAATGCAGCTCAGGGATGGATGCACCCGCCAAACTCAGCCCCCGCACCACCCTGAGTGACCCTGTGCCACCCTGTACCTCTCCTGATCCCTAGCTCCACATACTGCTAGGTGGAGGGAATGGATAACTACACTGCAGAGAGGTAAAGGCACGCTTTGTTTCAGTTTAGAGTTGAACACGTCCTCCAGGTTCAACAAAAGGAACAGCGCTGCTACATAAAGGCCACACCCCGGATGTCTTGGTAAGGTGCGCATGCACACTAAGAACACTGCTCTGTCTGCTTAAAATTGAAGAGCGGCGGCGAGGCAGCTCAGTGGGTAGAGTACTTGCTGACAACCCAGGTTCAATCCGCAGAACCTGCGCAGGGGAGAAAGGGAAGAACCAACCCCACAAGGATGTCCTCTGACTGACACACACGCTTGTGGAGTTTTTCATTCAAAGATTTTAGGGACCAAGAGACCACAGGTGGTACAAACTGCAGAAGACGCATCAGTGGACATTGGGGATGATGGGACTCACTCCTGCCCAGTCCCTCTTAGTCAACCGTGCCGGAGGAGCGGGAGAAAAGGCTCATCACCTGCGCAGATCACACTGTCAGGGACCCAGGCAGTTTCAGCCTATGTAGTCTGTCCCTACTGCTGCTAACTTAAATTTGATGGAGATCTTCAGACACAACAGAAAAGCCTAAAGGAGCCCAGACATGGCGAAAGTTGTTCCTTTCTTTTTTAATTTGTATTTTCGTTTTCAAATTCTGTATTTTATTTTTCACAGAGTAAGGTGTCTGTGGCTCCAGTCACTCAGCGTGGTACTTTAATCTCTCCATCATTTTCTTGAATACCCTGCTTGTGGATGTTTCCACTGATGAATTCCCAGGTCCGTGAACTTTCTCTTCTTCCTGTAGAGATTCTGGTGTACCTTCGGGTTTTGTTGTTCCTGTTTTTAACTGTTTGCCCCATCATAGAGGTTTAGCTGACCACCCTGCCACGCCCCACATACACACACCTGCACTGGAACTCCTGATCTCTTACGCTTTTTGCAAACCACAGACAATGAAGTGCAGAGCTGACGAGGATGAGGAAACCAAGCTCCCTCCGTCACAGTACCCCAGGCCTGAGGCACAATCTCTGCACCCACACGCTGCCCAATCCAGAGCAGAGCTGACCTAAACGGAAGGCTATCTAGATAGCTTTTAGATCAGAGGTTCTCAACCTCTGGGGTCATGACCTCTTCAGGGGTCAAACAAGCTTTTCACAAGGATCACCTAAGACCATCGGGAAATACAGACATTTATATTAGGCTCATAACAGTAACAAAATTACAATTACGAAATAGCAATGGAAATAATGTTACGGCTGGGGTCACCATAACATGAGGAACTGTTTTAAAGGGTCACAGCTTTAGGAGGGTTGAGAAGCCCTGCTCTTATACTGACCTTAGCTAAGCCAACCTCTCATTAAGAAACAGGGAAAAGGGGCTGGGCATAGTGGCACGTGGTGCTGGAGACGCTGAGGCAAGATATGGAATTCAGAATCAGCCTGGACTACATCGTGAAAACTTGACTGGGGGGGGAGCTAAATTTAAAAATTAAGGGAAGCTCGTTCTTTGCCCAGGTCTCCCGAAGTGCTTGGCAGTGGGAGACCTGAAAGCAGGGACAAACAGCTACTGTGTGAAGAAAATGGGCAGAGAGCAGGGACCGAGGCTAGCACGGGAGTATCATGCAACCATCTCTTACTCTTGGCAGGCCTCAACTGGCTCCCTTTTACGGGCACGTTTGCATCAGAGTTGTGGCCTGTAAGAGGAGGTCCCAGGAGATGAGATGTTTTTTATTGCTCTGATTTCTTTTAGACTCGAGTGTTTATTTCTCTTGTGTGAGATGCATGTATGCACATGCATCACATGTATGTCTGGTCCCTCAGAGATCAGACGGTGTAAGATCTCCTAGAACTGGAGTTACTTACGGCTAGCTGTGAACCATCGTGTGTGTGCTGGGTCCTCTAGAGGAACAGTAAGTGCCCCTAATCATCCAGCCTCTTGTTTTGACGT